TCTCACATTTGACTCTTGGGTACCTACCACATCGGCGGTTGTTTAATCACTGCTGCGTCTCAAGCGGAAGATCTCGGTGTAATCGCATCCTTTGATCCTCGTGCAATCCATGACACGATTAAGAAAGTTAGAACAACCAACAGAATGTTTTGATCTATAAGAAAGTCCTTCGGATAATTCCTGATATCTTCAAATTTCTGTTCGTCTAATAGGTCATCATCATCATTATACACCTCAGATATTGTGCCGCAATACTAAAGACAAGAAGAAAAAATACAACACTGGCACGCCGGCCGAGCCCCCAATAACGGATGGACATCGGTCTGGCGAGCTAACAGCCGGCTATCGTGCTGTAAAAATAGTTATATTATGCTTAGCGAATGAGATCGTGATTGGAAGGGGAGGCTAAGCATGAGGGATGGACAAAGGAACTCACAACACCACCGCCATTGGGGCCGGCTCCTATCCAGATCAGCAAGTGTGTCCAACCAAACGTGTTCAGCGTCCATAGGACCCCAGCCAGGCAGTCGGGATGCACCAACCGACGTCAACTTCGAGGTAAACGTTTTCATATCTCCAGATCAAGTCAACGCTTGGCCTCCTCTCCTCCTCCTCCTCCAACTGCACTCCCTTCGCGCAAACCATGCACAACGCGAGAGTCGGTGTGCTGGCATGCGCAACACGTGGCCCAGCCATCGGAGCCAGGTGCTTGATATAATGGTACTGAGCGGTTCACTCGCTCTTCCTGCGCCAAATACGCGACGCCGAATACGCTCACTGCTCACGCGGTGCTACCACCAGACATAAGCTAAGTTGCGAAGGCAGCGATGATCGCATGTGACCAGTTTCTTGATGTCTGTCGATCTGATGAACCAGCGTTCACACCCGTACATGAGGGTTGAACGGATGGCTGCGTTATAAACTTTGCCCTTCAGGGCGAGAGTAATGTCGCGTCTGCGCCACAAGTGACGGAGATAGGCAAAAGCACCTCAAGCTTTTGCTATACGGTTCGTAATCTCATCTTCAATCCCACGGGCTCTAATATAGCTGCCCAGGTGCTTAAATACATGAACAACTTCTAGCGTTAGCGCAGGGTGAGTCCCTGCCAGTAAGTTACCCACGCACTTAGTTTTAATGCTACTTAATTTTAAAAGTTCGGTGGCTAGGTTAAATATCAACCCCAGTGCTTCGGGAATTGTATTATTCCGTTCGGCTCCAACGTATGAATCTGTTCTCGGCTACCGTCGTCATCGTGGAGCATTTTTATTGGGGAATTGAATAATGAGCTCTAATAACACCTCCAGTTAAACAGAGATAGTTAAACACGCGGGCACAATTGGAAACTCTTTAAACCGAGGACGCACCACTTCCATTCAGAGATCTCTTATCTACCCTGGCCATGAACGACAGAAAAACTTACCAGACGCTGTGTTCAGTGCTTCCACTGAGGAATGTTTTATTAAGCTGTTGCATTTACACCTACTTAATGTGTCTGGGTCTTGCTGTTATCCTTGAAACTATTTATGTTTGGCGGCATCCGAGTTCGGATTTGACTGTCACTGTGGCCTCCCTAGGAGAGCCACAGGACGCCTGCGCCTACAGAGGGACCATGCGCGGCTCGCGCTTTACCACCCACAGCTCCATCCACATGCCCCATATCCAGTGTAAACCCGAAGGAATAAGACCGGGTGGCATGTGGATAGGAGCCACATTTCATCAACGGAGCCGGCCCACACTCCTTCACAGGCAAACACAAACACGCTGTATTTGGGGAATCAAGTGCACACAAGGCGGTGGCTGGACCGTGGTCCGCTCCACACTGAGTGCATGGAACCACTCTTTGAGCCTAGCACGGCCACAAGAACCGTGCACCCCGTCCGCTACAGCAACGACCAACTGTCTTCTGGAGCCAGTATGGACGAGGTAGTGGGTAATAGACAGGTAGGCACCTTGTCAAAATGCACATCAAGCGCAGCCACACCGGGGATATAAAGCAATAGCCCATCACTTGTAACGACGATATCAAATAAAAAGAATCAAATAATGCAAACAGATACGATAACATTGGTTTTCAATAAATGAGCATATGACATTCATTAGTTACGATCCACGATAAGTTCAAGGCGTCGGAATATATATATATATATATATATATATATATATATACACTTAAACTAGGTCTTTTTAAGCTGGATAAATTTCATTCCGGTTTATTTGGTTTGTTCTGCCTCCCTGAATAATGCTCTATTAACTGGCCACGTTGCTTACACTAATTGCGCTTATCTTCGGTAATTTTGTTGCGTTTGTAGCATTTTAAGTAACTTGTGGACATTTCTTACCTATCACGGATTTGTTGCTAACCAACTTACTTCATATGGTAATTTAGCGCAGAGTTACGCCACCGTATCTGTATGCATTATTAGATTTATTTTTTTTCAGCTTGTCGTTTAAATTGAATGGCTGTTGTTTGATATCCCTGGTATGGTTGCGCTTGATGTGTATGTTGACAAGGTGCCTACCTGTCTATTACCCACTACATCGTTCATACTGGCTCCAGGAGACAGTTGGTCGTTGCTGGAGGGGACCGGGTGCACGGTTCTGGTGGCCGTGCTAGGCTCGAAGAGTGGTTCCATTCACTCAGTGTGGAGCGGACTACGGTCCAGCCACCGCCTTGTGTGCGCTTGATTCCCCAAATACAGCGGGCATGTGTTTGCCTGTGAGGTGTGTGGGCCGGCTCCGTTGATGAAACGTGGCTCCTATCCACATGCCACCCAGTCTTATTCCTTCGGGTTTACATTAGATATGGGGCATGTGGATGGAGCTGTGGGTGGTAAAGCGCGAGCCGCGCATGGTCCCTCTGTAGGCGCCGGCGTCCTGTGGCTTGCCACAGTGACAGGCAAATCCGAAACCGGATGCCGCCAACCATATATATATATATATATATATATATATATATATATATATATATATATATATATATATATATATATATATATATATATATATATATATATATATATATATATATATATATATATATATATATATATATATATATATATATATATATATATATATATATATATATATATATATATATATATATATATATGCCCCATGCTGAGGCTGATGTTGTATTCTTGATGCTTCTTCACCGCAATTGGGCTAAACCAACTTACACTTAAACTAGGTCTCTTTAAACTGCATACATTGCTAACCAACTTACTTCATATGCTAGTTCAGCGAAGAGTTATGCCACCGTGTCTGCATGCATTATTGGATTTCTTTTATCTCATCTTGTCGTTCCAGAGGATTGGCTGTTGCTTGTTATCCCCGGTGTGGCTGCGCTTGGTGTGCATGTTGACAAGGTGGCTACCCCTTTTTTTACCCACTACCTCGTCCATACTGGCTCTAGGAGAGAACTGTTCGTTGCTGAAGGGGACGGGGTGCACGGTCTTCGTGGTCGGGCTAGGCTCGCAGAGCGGTTCCATGCACTTAGTGTGGAGCGGACTACGGTCCAGCCACCGCCTTGTGTGCGCTTGATTCCCCAAATCCAGTGTGCTTGCGTTAGCCTCTGAAGGAGTGTGGGCCGGCTCTGTTGATGAAATGTGGCTCTTATCCACATGCCTCCCGGTCTTATTCCTTCGGGTTTACACTGGATATGAGGTGTGTGGATGGAGCTGTGATTGGTGTAGCCCAAGCCATCCATGGTCCCTGTAGGCGCAGGCGTCCTGTGGCTTGCCACTGTGACAGGCAAATCCGAAACCGGATGCTGCAAACCATATATAAGTCGGAGGAAATATGTTTGTCTATACTATCTGGAATAGTTTGTATTAATTTTTTACATGCCGTTGCACAACGTTAGACATGCCCTTACGCTCATGCATTATATCTCAAACTATTTGTCTTTCTGATTCCGTTCGCACCAACTTTACGCAACATTTCCACTAAATGGCCGGCAAATTAGTCATTCGATATTAATTTCGTGTTAATATTTTGCAGATACTTTAACACAGTGCACAACTGTACACATCTTATGAGATCACATTACGTTTGTCACTTATAAGTTACTGCTTTTAGCCTTTCATTATTTAGTTCTGTGGATTTTTCATAGAGTTTGTACAAGTTCAACCATTAACCTACATATTTAAATATAGTGTGGCCTCTCGATCTACTTCACCGGCCAACATACACCATCCAACAACTTTGGTTTCATACTCCTGCATGATGGCATTTATTTTACGTTGATGGTTCCCTGATTTCACCGTTGCAGCTAAAGATATTTCCTAGGAACACATCACCAACAAAAAATTACAGCACATCATGCGAGGTAAGTATGAACTATGCATTTCCTTTAACGTTTCAAAATATTTTCACTCATAGAATACTTGAGCTAGGCTTACGTATATTAGCGGACTAAGCTATTAAACCGTTTAATGAACACTTAAAATATTAGTGTTCCGCTGCAATGGCCCCTTAGAAATTTCGAGGATAAGTTACAATGGTTACGGTAAACTACTTTACTACAAACGTTACATTGTTGTATCACGTTATAAACGGCTGCAGTGCATTCTATTTTAATACTGAAACCTTATTAAGTAATTCCTAAATATCGCGATGGCTTTCTTGATGCCTGCTATTCCATTTCACCTTGGCCAGAAAAATATTTCCTCCAATGGTTAGAGCTGAGCTGCCGAACGGCATAGCGCGAAATGTTATTTCAGTAATGTGGGTAATAAATGGTTGAACAAGCTGTGACTCATGTGTTTCGTTTAAGGTGCATAAAGACTATGAAACCATTCCATGTTCCGGCGCCACTAAGCGCACTAGAAGAAGCACCCAAGGGATTTTACTGACTTGATTCAAAATTGAATGTACAATAAAACTAATAAAGTTGCGCTAGTTTAATTTAAAATGCCCAGGAAGAAAATTTATTGATTTTTAATGGTATTACCATTGGGTAACAAGGTATCGTTTTACTCTTTCCTGTTCAAGGATTCCTCGGGGCGGAAACATATTGCATTCTGTTCGACCTTCACCGACATGCGGACGGGTTCGTCTTTGGTTGTTTTGTTTTGGTGTTTCCGCATTAACTGCGTAGTACATTCCACTAGTTACTGTTTTATCGTATTTATGTCGCTAACTTTTGATATTAGACGTTGTTTTCTAGAATATTTAATAATTACGGCAAACAGATTACACATTTTATTTAAGTTTCTGCACCCCATATACCTTATTCGCTCAATTTCTTGCAGGGTTATGTGTGTGGTCGCTGTTATCTAGGGGAACAAAATTGGACAGCACAGTTCTCTGTCCACGTAGATAGACGATCTGCCGTCCTATTTGGACATGCTTTAAGTCACTCGCTGAGGTAAAAAGTTAATGTGGCAATAAACAGCGTGATCTGTGTAGATATGCCGTCAAATAAGATTGTGCATCTAGGACCTCAGTCCTTTGAATAAAATGCGTTACTTTTTAGCAATCTCATAATTTCACTTAACGTGAGTGACCACTGGAGCTCCCTGAGTGACCAGTTTTCGTGCTCCCGGCCGTATTTTTGGACACTATTTGGTCAAAATTTTGTCACTGGAAAACATTTTCGGTTTAACACCGGTTTTTTATGTACTTGCAATCTGGAAATCGATATCTGCTCAATGTTCATGATATTTGCAATCGGAAAATAAGCATTTACGGCATATGGTAAGGGTGCATAAAGAAGCTATCATACGTGACCAAAACATATCCTAATTGGGACGAATTTTGGCCACATTTTCTGTTTAGCTTAACAGCTTTACTATTGCGTTGTTACAATTTGGGGATCGATTTCGTCCTAGTGTTGACGGGATTTGCAACCAGGTACGATGCGCTTAAGTTCAACTTTAAGCGGGACTGGAACGATAGGAGTATCCGGTGAGTGTTCCTTCTTCAGCGGGTCGTTGAACCAAAAAGTTGGCAGTCTTTGAAATACCGTTGCACCCAAAACAAGGACCACATCACCCTGACCAACCAATTAATGCCCATGTATCCTGCTCTAGCAGTCCTTGCTGGGCCGGTTACGTAAATTAAGAAACAGTAAAAGGTAAACTCAGAAGTCAGAAAGCAAAAGTGGCAAGAGCTAAGCAAGTAGAATATCAAGATATTTGAGTCATTGGAACTGAACAGAAATGTAAAGGTCAGTTAGGAAAAAGGAAAGGTTTGGTGGTGCCACCCAAGGGCATTGAGCTGGCGCGCAAAACCCTTAACCGTAGGTTCCTTAACCACGTGATCTGGAAGAGAATTCCAGCGCGACCAAATATACCATAAAAACTCAACTTTAGTGGGAGTCGAAGATGAGGAACTGTGAAAAGCTTTCGGAAAGTACGAATAGCACGTCTACAGCGTGCCCATTATCTACCGCTTCGGCCTAGCTTTCACGAGCTAAAAGCAGATTAATCTATCATGTAAATCCCTTGCGGAACCCATATTGCGCAACACTGAGTAGGTCGAAATTGGTCAGGTGGTTCTCCACTGAATCCCTTATCAGCTTTTCAAACAACTTGACTACTACACTTGTCAAACTGACAGGCCGGTAGTTCGCGGGCAGAGCGCTGTCAATGCTCTTAAAAATCAGACAGATGATTGCTTCTTTCCATTCCGAAGGTAAGATGCAGCTGTCAGGCGATATTGAAAACGCGCATGTGAGAGGAAACTCAGCTCAGTGGCCAATTCATGAAACAGCTTCGGATGAATTGAATCATGACCGGAAGCTTTAGAGGCATTAAAGCCTTGCAGTGGCTCGTAGACCTGAGTCTCTGTTATGTTAAACTCAGCTAAGCAATAATTCTTGAAACTCTTGAAACCAATTCAACCTGCTAAAGATCTCCCGAGCAATGACCCCAGTAGACTGATCACAAGGTATACAAGCCTTGTCATAGTCAGTTTGCGCACGGGTCCTGTCTGCTCGCGATAACGCTAGTATAGACAGTTTCGCCCTGTTGCGTCTTTTAACGTAAGCAAAAAGCTTCTTGGGATCATTTGCGGCCGAGTCCGCTAGACCCTGCTCGTACTGGAGACGAACAGTCCTGAGATGTTGCTTACATTTATTTCTAATCTCCAGATAACTTCCATAGGTACTGGCTGATGGAGCTGCTTGGTAGGTTCGCCAGCACTTAGACCGTTTCTTGAGTAGGTACCTTCCTGTGGTATCTATTCATGAAGGCTGTTCCCGTAACCCTCTTTTCCTCATGAGTGTAATATAGGGAGTGGTAACCTCTGTATGCCTTAAATTTATCCCAGGCTAACTGGACAGAGTCAGCCATCGAGTTCTCACAGTTTAGAACGGAAGCCTTAGCTCGCATTGCACTAAAGTCCGCCCGCCAAATATTCGGAAGTAATTCAACAGCGGTCCGTTGGTGCCTTGAAAGCGCACATCGAAAGAATATGCATGCGTGATCGCTGGACCCTAGAGGTGCACCGTGTTAAATGTCGGTCACGAAGTCGAGGGACTTGATATTTGGTTGTCCATATACCTAGTGGGGAAGTCCACGAACTGGTGCAGAGGCATTTTCAAGGCATATGTTAAGGTTGCGTTGGAAAAGTTATGCCGCGTGACCAGCGTCGTCCAAAAAGTGTCCAGTGACGGCCAGGGGCGCAAAATCAGTCACTCAGGAACCTCCTAAGGTCACTTCAGCAGACACTTTTGTCACTCGTGCGGACGGGATTATGCGTTGCGGACCAAAACAATGCCACGTAGAGGTGTCATGCAAAAACGTCTGAAAACAGACTAACATGATCATTGACTTCAGTAAAGTCTTGACAATGTTCCACACGAACGACTGCTAAACCGACTCCAGGGAGTTGGCATTACAGGAAATCTATTTTGGACAATGCGAGTGCAAGTGAACCAAACACAGCTCTTGTGCCGGTGAGTAGTAGCGTTCCCCATAGATCCATGTTTGGACCAGAGCCCTTCAAATTGTACATCATCATTCTGCCGACTGCACTTTAAACCGACTGCTTGATCTACGCCGATGATCTCAAGCTATGGACAACAGTATTCAGCCTTGGGTTGCGGACAGTTTACAGGGGACTCTAGACCAGCTACACGAATGTTCCACTAGGTGGCAACTGTCAGTAAGCCGAGATAACTGCGCTGTTCTCCCAATTGGTAACACTAATCTGTACAGTGCTTATCACATTGGTGGGTTTCACAGGAATACCACTCACGAGAGAGATCTCGGGATTATTGTGTCTTCTGACCTTAGAACATCGTAGGACACGTTGAAATGGCTACTAGAAGCAGACTGGTAGATACCCTATGAAGCTCATTTGCTTGAGTGATTCCTGAGATTTCTCAACCTCCGTTCACTTCATACGTTCGTCCAATTTTAGAATATGGCCTACCAGCTATCCATCCGCTTGCAAAGCTTGATACGCTCTGCTGGAAAAGTTTCAGAGGCGTACTTCAAAATCTGTTCTGGGACTATTGGATCTCTCATACCCCATGCGACTTCAGCAGCTGAATCTGTCCTCTTTGTAGTTCCGCCGTCGCTGGGGTGACCTCACCTACACAAGTCACTTCCTCCGAGGGGAATTCGGAACTGAGCTACATCAATTCTTCCGGCCCGACGCCGATCGTTCCGCTCGAGGTCACACATAGAAGCTGTTTAAACAAAGAAGACACCAGATGCGCGTGAATGTCACCCTCTCCACTAAAGTGGCAAGTGACTGGAATGACTTACCGGAGGAAATTGTGGACACCCTCCGAAAAAAGTTTCAAGCGGCTGCTAGACAACCATTCGCTGAGAATGCTGGGATCTTGCGGCCATCACTGCAACTGCGATGAACTCACCAGGACCATCGTAACTCAGCGACACGCATTAAATCCAGAATGATTCGGAATCGATAAAGCTGACAAAGGTTTTCCCTCCTGCTCTTTACCACTCGATGAACTCCATGAACTGGACTCAAACAACTGAATCCAACAATCAGTACAAAAATACCCACCGTCTGCCTAAGTGTACAGTGAAATAGTACATTTTGTTACTTTTACACAGCAAACAGAAGTCTCCATACTGATACAAGTGAGGATCAAGTCCTCCAATTTTCCGGTAACTCATTGAGTACATTCCCTAACTAAGCAAGTGTTCGGATTAAGTCTGTCCCCATGTCACACGGTAACCTTGTATCCACTCGAATACTTCTCTCCAAGTCCATTTTGTCCGGGTAATGACATGGTGGACAAGCCTGGATACCGTACTGCAAGGGTAGTCGCACGAAGACAGGAAAAACCTTTACGCGCATATCAACGTTAAAACTCCGATGGAGCGGCGAATAAAGCAAATCATACAAAGTCCTCTACAAGCCGTCTCTTTCCAATTGTTGCCGGAGTGAACGACTGATGAGTGGACGACCTACCTACCTGCTGAATGACAACGCCGCCAACAATGTCGTGTGGTCAGACTAGCATCTCCTATTCGGAGAACAGAACGCGGTCCAATTTATGGGCATCAGTCATAAGGCAGACTATCCCCATTCTCTCTCCGTCCCAACCTTTTGCCGACTAGAGTACCCACGAAGTGGCGAAACGATAAAATAAACCTTGTGTATTGGGTTATGTCGGCCTTTGTTTATTCAAACTCAAGTCCAGCCATGATAGCTCCATCAGACGATTAACTGTCCGATTGAAATCGTGTAGAAAACAACACATTTGATGCGCTTAACAGCCATACCGAGTGTTGCCTGAACGATCAAAATTTTGTAGCACCGTATAACAAATCATCATCATCATCATCAACAGCAGTACATCAGCCATTTGAACTGATGCTTCGCTGCCACACAACAATGAGGACCTATGAAATAAAGAATAATAAGAGGGAGAAAGGGGGACTTACCTGAAAACCTTAATGCCCTAAGCAAACATTCTGGGTCAAGGCGCCTACACCTTGTGTAGACAACATACCGTCACAAACAGCTGGCTATCGTGCAAAGATAAGGCGGCATCGGCGAGACAACTTCCTTGCGGCTTTCACTGCCCAGCGTCATAACCAGCCATTACCCCGCAGATAACTCAGCACCAAACACAATTTAAACAGGCAATCTGATTAGGAGATGGCAGCAGATGCGCCACTGGTGTCTACTGCGAGCCATGTCCTGTAAAGTCTCGAAACAAGCACAAGGCGAGTCACATGGACTCCAGCTCGGAAGGCGAAACGGACCAACGGCACCCAGTTGGGTCGTCAGTGACTTCATTTCTTGCTGCCAAGTCAACTTCTGTCCACCACGAGCCTTGCGCCACCCTACACCTGGCAGACTAAACAAGGCCCTCCTAGGTAAGCAGTGACCAGGCATACGTAGCACGTGCCCGAGCCAACGCAACTTATTCAGTGCTATCTGTTGTTTTAGGGAGTTAGCATGATTATCACCACCTAGTACTCGCCTACGCACATCATCGTTGCGGGCACGCTGGTGCCATCCGACTCCAGCAATGCTTCACAGACAACGATGAACAAAGACTTGAAGGCGCCTCAGATCTTCAGACCGAAGGGGCCAAGTCTCACTACCATAGAGCAGAACGGCCCTCATTGTGGCCTTGTATACACGGCCTTTCAGACGGAGGGAAACTCCCATCTGTCGCCAAAGATGCCGCAGGTTCAAGAAGGCAGCTCTGGCTTTTGCAATGCGTGAGCTCACGTCAGTTTCTATTCGCCCATCATTGTTGATGCAGCTGCTAAGATAAGTGAAATGATCAACAACCTCGAGTTCCTCGTGAGCAAGGGTCAAGGTATCATCAAGTGGCTGGTGCTCCAGCAGCACTTTGAAGGTGCGAAGTGCATACCAAATAATGGGACCACTCTGGACAGGCTATTCAGGGTTGATTGGGCTGCCCCAACTTGGTCGAAAAACAAGACGATATCGTCCGCATAATCTAGATCAACTAACCTTTCACCAGAAAGCACTTCAATGCCTACATTGAGATTCCGCAAGGGAACACTCCATGATAGAATCCACGACGAAATTGAGCACAAATGAGGAAATCGGACAACCCTGACGAACGCCACTTGTAGTCGGAAAGATATCCGGTAGGACACCGTAGACTATGACGCGGCCTGTGTAGTTCGAGTATAGAGCACGAAGGATGTTCACATATTTCTTGGGAACACCTTTCCGCGCAAGTATTTCGAACAGAATCGACTGAATCGAACGCACTCTTGAAATCAAGGAACACAGCTATTGTCGGTCTGCGGTATGCGTGGCTCTGTTGTAGCATCTGCCGCAAAATGAATATATGGTCTATACAGCCATGTCCTGGGCGGAAACCAGCCTGCTCCCCCCTAATCTGAGATTCCCGTTCTGCAGTGAGGCGACGAACAATAATCGAGGCCAGTAATTTTGTCACAACTGGCGTTAGGCTAATACCTCTGTGGTTAGAACAGTCTGTGCGACTGCCCTTCTTGTATATTGCCACTATGATCGATTCGCTCCAATTAGCCGGGACACTTCTTTTCAGATACATTCGAATAAGGAGGTCAGTGCTTTGCAGAAGATCTTACCTCCATCCTTAAATAGTGCGGGTGGGAGGGAATCCGGGCCGGCGGCACGAAAACGATTGAGGGCTGTGGTCGCGTTTCGGACCTCGGCCTCCGACGGAGGCTCTAAACTAACCGTCCATGGCTCATCCTGCATCACCTGAGTAGGAAGAGGTCCGGGAGCACGGGGCCAGCTGAACTGATCTTGTAAGTGTTCAGCCCAACGAGCCATAAGGCGCTCCTTATTGTGTATCAGCGCACCCGCGCTGTCTCTGATTGTCTCACTGACGCCTGGTTTTCTGAGACCAGTGGTGCGGATCAGATGGAAGAGCTTGCGGTAATTTCCTACTGCTCTTGCCTCCTCCATTTCTTGAGCCCTTCTGTTCCACCAGACCTCCTTGTCAGCACGCCGGCTCTGTTTTAGTTCACGCCTAATAGCCCGTCTGGTCACATTGTGTTCAGAGCCAGCCGGGAGGTGTCTTCTAGTCTCCAGCAGGTTCGCCGAGCTCTCGGATATCCAGTGACTGGTGCGATGACGACTGATAGTGCCACAAACAGATGCTCCTGCGTCGTACATGGCGGCCGAGATCCTATTCCACTGAAGCTCAGCGTCATTAGAACAAGACAGCGGAAGTTCGGTATGCAGTGCTTCTTGATAGGCTTGCCTGACCGAGGACTGAGACAATTTCTCAGTTGCCAATCGTAAGGGACTCTTGGTGCGCCTCCCCGTAAAGTTCATGGAGAAACGACAACGCACCAAGGCATGATCAGAGTCGACACAGGTACGCCAGTACGAGCGGCAATCCAGAATGGAACTATGCCATCTGTAACTTAGGGCAATGTGGTCAATTTGGGTCCATTGCTGGCCAGCTACAGGAGGATGCCAAGTGGCACTTCGGTGCCCACTGTGTCTAAAAGCAGTGCTAGTAAGAAACAACTGGTGCTCCGCACACAGTTGCAGCAGATGCTCACCTTTATCAGTCCGTTCGGAGTTAAGCCCACATTTACCACCTAGCTGAGCTTCTGAAGAGCTCAGACGCCCTACTTGTGCGTTCATATCCCCTGCAAGTACTATAATATCTGAACTAGTAGCACTGCTTAGTAGCACGTTCAGTTCGTGATAGAATGTGTCCTTGACAGCATTTGAACTGCAGTCGGTGGGAGCATAAGCGGAAATCAAGAACAAACAGCGCTTTGTACTACTTCGTGACTCCACCTTAGCTGTTGTCGTCAAACTGGCTGCACATAAACGGCTGTTCATCGGAATCCAATCAACCAAAGATGGCTCATCCTTGGGGCTTAAAATGATACCTACACCAGCTTGACTCGTGAGTGCTGCATCGGCGTCTCCGGATACGTGCAACCAATAACGAGAGGATAAGCCGGGTGTAGTTTATTCAATAACCCCGTTAGGGTCATTGCTCCTAGTTTCGGACACACAACACACATCAATACCCAGTGTGTTCAAGGTACGTGCGAGTGCTGCCTGTTGACCTGTTTGTCTTAGAGTGCGGACGTTGAATGTCGCCATGGAAACGGGATAGCGTGGTTTTATAAGGGACTTTTGCCGATAGGCGCCCATTAGGTCTGGTGGGACGGTGGCTGCAGATGGTTTTACTCCAGTGGCACTTCGGTTGCTGTCAATTAAGCCGGGAATTATAGAAGGAAGGTTAGTATAACAAATAGATTTGCGTGTAGGTCGCTATCAGTAGCAGCAAGTTCTGCGAGTTATTCTGTGTTTCTGTTCCTGTCCGATATCGGATGGAAATCACTAGGTAAGAAACGAGGCCTATGAAGTCAACAAAACGAGTTACACAAGCAGAAACCGTGCCTGACGTTATCACATTGCTTCATTATTATCCAGTTCGGGTAGCTGCTGCGCAATACATATTTCCTACCTCAGGGACGGTGTTTTGGGGCACTGCAATGGGATACCGTATGTTTCTTCTATCTCAAATGCTACCTCAACCATCCTTGAGGCACCAGTTAATAGGAATGGGAATTTCAACTAGATGGAAAACGGCATTGGTAAGGGCTGCCAATTTCTGTTTTGACTGTTTGATTTCCACCCGTACACGGTCGTCGTAGCTTTTTTGGACAGAAATCAGACGGTCATCGGATTTAAATCGGACGCAAATCGGTCATTCTTCGGACACTCATTTTCAACATGTTTACCACTTCTTGGTGCTGCTTCGGGAGGTGTTTCATAGTGCTGACATTATAACCGTTACCATTTTAATTGTCGTACTTCACTCTATCCTCAGACTGGGTATTTTTTTTACTATCGCAGTTTCTTTTGTTCTGATTTTTGCTGCTTGTGTGTTTGAACTACGAAATTCAATGCGTCCCGATGTAGGAGTTTCTTAACTTCCTAGCTTGGTCGTGAAATCTGGTCGCTACGGTATTGTTTCCGCCTCTCATCGGACGCGGCCCAGTTACGCATGTTTGTTTCGGCGAAACCTTTACCGGTATTCTTCCCCTTTGGGCTTCTAATCAGTTATTCCCCTTTCATCCACAACTAATGTAGTAATCCGCTGTTTCAGTTTTGTGCAGATCGCACGCGCTTTGATTTCTTGAGCGTGATGCGTACCTCTTCATCGCATCAGGCTGCGGTTGCTCTTTTTATTTTCAGGTGGGAAATGTCCCAAACTATATGAACGTATATACGGCCTGCATCCCGACGAACCATACGTTTCGCCCTATTTGTCGAAACAGTCTGTTGTCAGTGATCCAGCTGTAGGTACACCCTTATTTTGTCTACTTCTCTTCCATTCTTTCTAACACTTATTTGTTTTTTTAGAATGGTACTCGCATTTCCGTCGTATCAACCAGATACACTGGGAGATTCAGCAAAGTCAGGACTGTCCACGATATCTTCGAATCCGGACTAAAATGTTCTCGTGAGCGCATTTTTTAGGATTTTCTAATGTGAATAATGTTGCTGTTTTTGCTCACTACTTGTGGTTCGTATGTACGCTTCACGTTGCATACCCTAGCTAAGTATTGTCTTATGTTGTAGCACTTGTGGTCTTTTACTCATGTTAACAAGCTATACTTGTTGATCCAATTACAAACTATGATTACCGCGATCTAGTATCCTCTGAGTGCTTAGTTATTTTTATTAGCACATTTTCTCCATACTTCTTTATACGTGATTTCTTAGCTGTCTAACTTTGGGCACTGATGTCTGTGCAACTCAGGATTGTCCTATCCAATCCCGCTACTAAGAAATTAAACCGGATCTGATGGGTCCAGTTCAGCCATATATTTGTTATTTGGTTGTGAACGACAAATTGACACACCATGATAAAACTGAGGGTAAACTACCTCATGGTCCTGTTTAAGGTACATGTGGTTAACCCGTGGTCAACCTGTGAGCCTTATTGCTGAAAGCTTCCTCAGTTGTTACTTCAACCTTATCTAAGTTAACAGGTCAGCACCTTAACACATTGTGCACCTTAGACTTCCGGGAAGGTGTCATATTGAGCTAGCAAATTGGAAGCATCTAAGGTATGAACGCATTACGATGCGGACCACTAAGGCAAACCTTATTCATCCATATATATATATATATATATATATATATATATATATATATGACAAGATGCCCACCTATCTATTACCCACTAGTCCTTGTTGGAGGGGACGGGGTGCGCGGTCCTTGTGGCCGTGCTAGGCTCGAAGAATGGTCCCATGCAGTGTGGAGCGGACCACAGTCCAGCCACCACCTCGTATGCGATTGATTCCCCAAATACAGCGTGCTTGTGTTTTCCTGTGAAGGAGTGTGGGCTGGCTGCGTTGATGGGACGTGGCTCCCATCCACATGCCTCCCGGTCTTATTGCTTCCAGTGTAAACCCGGTGACTTGCGCTGCACCGCCCATAGCTCCAACCATACACACCATATCCAGTGTGTGTTTGCCACATGCAGAGGTTGACGTTGCCTACATCATGCTTTTTCATCGCAGTTGGGCTACACCGACCTACACTTAAACTAGATTTTCCTAATCTGTATACAGAGTATTCCACTTTCTTTGGTTTGCTCAGTTCTGTTATTCTGCTGCGCATTCCGTGTTAATTTCGGGTGTTTCTTTTCCTTGGTTTTCTGATATCGCAGGTGTGACTGCGCTTTATGTGGATGTTACTAAGTGGCTACTTGTCTACACCCACCTTTTTTCTGGCCGCAGAAGACTGGGGGACCGGGTGTACGTCCTCGTGATCGTGCTAGGCTCAAAGGGTGATTCCATGCATCCAGTGTGTGTCGGGCAACGGCTCAGCCACCACCTTCTGTACCTCAGGTACGCATACTTCCCCACATAGACATACAGAAATGCTGCTTATGTGCACGTTGACAGAATGTGAACGTGGCTCCTTTTCATATGCTGCCCGGTCTTATTCCTTCGGGTTTACGCTGGATATGAGGGATGCGTATGGAGCTGTGGGTAGTGCAGTGCAAACCAACCATAGTCCCTCTGTAGACGCATGTGTCAGGTCAGGTCAGGTCCGGTCCGGTCCGGTCTGTTCCTAAGGACGATACAGGCTTTCGCCTAACGCGCGTCCCGCTTCTTGCACCGCTAAGCTAGCCAAGCCCTCGGCACTTCGACGTCTCCTGTGGCTTTCCCTTTGGAGACCACAGTGACAAGTATATCCCGCACCGGATGTCGCTAACCATGTATCTTGTGTTAATTACGCTTCACTGCAGTTGGGCTGGAGGCGCTTACACGTAGCTTTTTCCACACTACATTGGATCTGACGTAGCCTATTTTTTGATTTGCTCAGCTCTTTCTATCCTCCACATATTCCGTTTATTTCGCGCTTTTTTCTCTTTCCCTTTCGTTGTTTGTCGGCTGCTATCCCCTAATTTACACGTGCACTTACCAAAGATCACATCAACAATAACTCGGAATTCATACTTTTTGATTTGCGTAGTTGTCATTCTGCCCCACATTTACTGTCCAGTTTGCGTGTTCTTTTCTTTCGTATTCATATGCTGCCTCATGCTGAGATTAATGTCGCACACCTTAACGACTCCTGAATAAGTCGGAGCCCGCCTCTTATTGGCATCAGCTGAAACAGTCAGCAACTGCACCCCGCGTATGTTACTTTTTAACCATTGTTTTTAGGTCCTAGAGTTATTTTAAAGTATATCTTTTATTTACGGAGATCAGCAGACTCCACATCTCAGTCACCGATGCATAAGAGCAGTTGCTATTACCTCCGGACTATTCAGCTTTATCATGCCACATATGCTTACAGTGCCTTGTAAACGTGGCATCACAGAAAGCCACTTTGGCCTCCACCCCTGTAGGAAATGAACGTAGGCATCAACAGTGTGTTTATACTTTGCACCAACACTTCACTGCCACGCGACGACTAGCGTGGATTACACCGACTTACATATAATCTAGGTCTTCTTGATCTGCTAACAAGTATTTCTCTTTATTAGATTTGCTTAATTTTGTTAATCTGCTGCATCTTCCGTCAACTTTGCATGCTTATTTTTAATCAAGTTCCTTTTTGCTTGTCTGATATCGCCGGTGTGACTGCGCTTAATGTCATTGTTGATAAGGTGCTTACATGTCTGACCTCTTCCACCTGGTTTACTGGCTCCAGGAAATTGTGGATCGTTGCTACGGGAGACCGGGTATACGGTCCTCGTGGTCGCGCTAAGCTCAAAGTAGTTCCATGCATTCAGTGTGGATCGGATTACTGCCCAACCACCGCCTTGTGCACGTCTAGTTCACATAGTTCCCCACATGGACATACAGAAATGCTTTTGCTACTGTGCGTGATGACAGAATGTGGGTCGGCTCCGTTGATGAAACGTGGCTCCCATCCGCATGCCTCCCGTCTTATTCCTTCTGTTTTACGCAGCATATGGGACGCGTTGATGGAGCTGTAGGTGCTGCAGCGCAAGCCACCCATGTTCCATCCGTAGGTGTAGGTGTCCTGTGGCGGTTCCATGGAGGCCACTGTGACAGGCAAATACGGAACCGGATTTCACACATTCTGTAGACGTAACTAAGCAGTTTATGATATTTTTCGAATGACATCCGCAGGAAACGTTATTTCTCTTATGTAACCTTTTCCTCGCCGACCGACATCACTGTCTCATGAATTTCGTTTATTATGATTCACGTGGCCTCTGCCATCTCACCCTGTAATATCGTCATAGTTTTCACGTTATCGATGTGCCTTGCGGTTTCTTAGCCGTTGCGTAACACTTGAGGTTTGCTGACAGTTACTATTACTCTTATGTATGCCCCTTTGCTCTCACTACTTTGGACACGTTCGTCCAGGGGGCTATACTTAAATTTTGTTTTACATATAGTCATACTTATTTTTACTCACTCTCTTTCTAGTAAATCGTCCTTGCCTCGGTAGCAGAAAAAGCACGGCTTTGCCATACGACTGGCTGACTTATAATGAAGTATGTTACACCCAAGCTTTACTCCACCCTTGTTTAAGGTCAATCAGCTAATTTGTGCCTTCGGTTCCGCATTGGTACACATTGCTGGTTATCGAGCTGGAAAACACAATTTTGTTGGCATTTACGCTCGAAACTCCCCTGAAGTAAGTCGTTTACTTTGTTCACCTGGTTGTTGTTCTTGGTTGGCTGGACAGCCCACATTGTGGTTTTGGCTAACGGGGTACCAGCTGGCATGATAGCAGTGAAGACGTCAGTTCATCCTTCCGTAGTTCCGCAGATTTCATACTTAGACCTTACAGGGTGCATTGAACTCCCGATAACTGGTGGGATCTGTCTGGAACTGCTCAGTGACTATTGTGGCGTTCTCAATATTACTTGTGATGCGAATATGTCATCATTGTGCCAGTAAATCTTACTGTCACTTCGTCGTCTTACAAATGAAGACTACGGTGAAGCAGCTGGAACACCACCGAAGCACCCAATATCATACGGAACCCTGAGCGTAGAGGTTTCACATTAGAATCTCATGCCGTTGCATTACAAACCCCCTTGTGTTGTTAAATGTCGTGCTCGCTACTTGCTTAGTCGCTTCCTTTCGACTGATTTTGTGGATAACTGCCGTTTATTTTGCATATACGGGTTGACGATTTGAATAACCGCGGACAACAGCCGTCATAAAATTGACCTGTTGATGTTTTGCACCTCTTCGTGACTGTATTTTCCGGAGAATGTACACATCAGCATGAATGCACAGGTGTCTAGTCTGGTGCGGCACAATTGTTGAGGTGGTCATTTGTGAACCTACATTTGTGCATTTTGTTATGTACAAACTGAACAATATCTTCGTATTATTTATAAACTAAGGCATTATTGTGGCTTAGTTCGTGACGCTAAATTATCCACACTTCGGTGCTAGGATGACAATTGTCTAGTCGTGCTGAACTGAGCTTAGTAGTTACGTTTTCCGGCTTCTGTTTAAGCACGTTAGGGACATGTCAACCACTAGTTTTGCTCATTTAGTTGAACTAACTGCGTCACTGTTTTAGTTTTGCTCTTATTCACTGTGTTGTCTGATCACCTGCTATGGTCAGCCTTGTCAACGACTCCTCAATAAGTCGGAGCCCGCCTCTTATTGGCATCAGCTGAAACAGTCAGCAACTGCACCCCGCGTATGTTACTTTTTAACCGTTGTTTTTAGGTCCTAGAGTTATTTTAAAGTATATCTTTTATTTACGGAGATCAGCAGACTCCACATCTCAGTCACCGATGCATAAGAGCAGTTGCTATTACCTCCGGACTATTCAGCTTTATCATGCCACATATGCTTACAGTGCCTTGTAAACGTGGCATCACAGAAAGCCACTTTGGCCTCCACCCCTGTAGGAAATGAACGTAGGCATCAACAGTGTGTTTATACTTTGCACCAACACTTCACTGCCACGCGACGACTAGCGTGTGTGGATTGCAAAGCAGGCACCTTGTCTCGGCCACTAGTACGATGGGCATTGACTGTATATTCACGCTTCTCCACTACCGGAACAGCACTATACATATCAGCGGTCCGCTATGAGCCTCAGTATGTGCTACGCCTTTTCAATGACCAAGGCACTGTTACAAGGCTCCGACTACTTACTACCTCTCCACGCCATTGCCGGAAGCCGCGGATCTGCCGGCCCGTAGCCTAGAGGTAACGAGCTTGTCTCGTAATCTTGCGGCTCGGGTTCGAACCTGCGCAGGGGCAGGGCGACCCCCGCAGTATCCTTAGCCCACGTGCGACCGGTGGTGGTTACGCGGCAGCAAAGCGTCGATACTGCGTACCGGCGTACTGCTAGTGCTTTTTTTTCTTGCGGATCTGTCTACTCTTGGCATCTGGATCACCTGAGATGGGCAGGCCGCAGATCGGCACATCTGTTGTGGGTTTCCTAAGCTTCAGTCGCCTATGGAAACGATGCAGTAATAGCTTTTTGGCCGTGGTTTCGAGTAGACATGATCACTGCGTTAAAGCTATAAAGTGGGTCATAATCTATAGCCAAATGTGCTTGCGCAGCACTCTGGGATTTGATGGGTACATCTCTAAACATTGCTGGGGTACACGGCCCGGTTTTCGATAATCGATCCTCTAGCACTCTACTGGCTTACTGCCTACATTGGCCCCTTCGTGTCTCTCGCATACCATTTGCCCCAGTACTACATCTAAGTGGCTGAAACCCCGCGGTGAGCTGTCGATTCCGGGGCACGAAATTCTGGTTGGACCACATCGTTGATTGCGTACTGTATATTACAGCTATGAAATCAATGGCGCCCTTGCGTTCACTTTTAAGGCTTCTCCTTCAGTTGCTCTACATGATGGGTTCCATTTTTATTCACCTCTGCACTTGTTGTCACCATTATTAGGGATGTGAGTTAGGACAGTTGGGTTCAAGACATTTCGGCCCACGGTCAGCTCGACTGAAATGAATTACCGCCTATCTTAGTATGCATTGTTTTTGAGTGATGCGCTTTGTTATATGAGGTCATCCAATGAAATGGCCGTTAACCGAATAATATAATCGTCGTTGTATTAAACATCTTGATTTGAGCCCACTGGATCTGCCACAACAGTAGCGTTCCCTATTTTACATCGATAACTTGACATCCAGTTTACTGCTCCCATCTCTTAGCTGTTCTATCCATCCGTTAGACCTCACTTTCCATAGCCCGAGATTTTTGCTACTGTTTTCCCCCATTTTATTGATAGCCTCATTTATCATAAAAGTTGAACTCGGCGCTTCTACCGCCCTCTGAGTTGTCATTGCCCACTAGGTTTTTTCCACTGCAGATGACATTCCACACTTCGTTCTCTACTCACACCTATTTCCCGTACTGCTTTTGTTCACATCATGGCCCATTACTTTCCCTAAGAGGTATAAAACTCCACATATTGTAGTGTTTGACCAAGGTATCATGGCCCTCGAACACCGGGTCTATTTTCATGGGGCTTCATTTGGTAGCCATTGGGGGGCATGTCTACTATGTGTGCCAGCAATAGTAAGAACCTCGTTTTTGCATTTGTATTTCTAGATTTCATGACCTTTCCTGCTGGTTTTGTCCCACTTCTGGAATTTACCACATTTCCTTCACTTCTCTTTCGTTTCCTTCCAGTGGATCGTAACGCAACAGGCCTGCGCCGCCTACTCCTACGTCTATGTGCCTCTGTATGATACTCTGGGTAAAGATGCAATTCAACACATTTTAACTCAAAGTAAGATATAAACTGTCTTTTTAAAAGGCAGTCTCAGATTTATATTACTTTCTCCGTCAGACCTGATATATTTCAGCTACTATTTAAACGACGGATTCGGGTTATATTGCCAAGGAGATTCGTCACAGCACATTTAATCAGACAGCTACCTCATACTCACAGAAAAATCGCTAGCCGTGCATATTTTATCTGTCCCCTGTGTGGATAGAACCCGCAGGCGACGACTGGACAACGGGGGAGCTTGAGCGGCGACCACAGGGGCCAAGCTCCTAAGTGTGATGTATCCCGACACTCATCCACTGTGCGCGTTTCCAACCGTTTCTCTTGCCAGCCTATCATCGCTCGATTACATTTAAAGCTGATTTAAGCGATTACTGCCGGCTACTTTATATAGACGTAGGCATGCTGTGGCTGCCCCCGTGGAGCCCACAGTGACAGGCAAATCCGGAAGTGGATGCCGCCAACCCTATATATATATATATATATATATATATATATATATATATATATATATATATATATATATATATATATATATATAAAGAACCCAGTGCTTCAAATATCAAATAAAATGAATCAAATAGTGCATACAGCTACGGTGACTTAACTCTTCAATAAATGAACGTATGAAATAACTAGGTTGTCAACTTATCCGCTATAGAAAATATATTCTAAGAAAATGTCAAACGCGGAAATGCTATCAAACTTAACTACAATTACCTTGAGCCATGTGTGCAAGTTAATGGAAGATAGTTCACCTAGACATTAATGCGACCATTTAGTAAACCCAACACGCAATCAAGCGGTTGGTAAGTCGTATACAGCGTACTTACCAACGCTGCGCCGCTTCTGCCTACGTTCTCTTCAGGACCCGTCGTAGTTTCGGTGTTGGCCCTCAGTGGCATCGCTCATGGCTCACTAGGCCTGCCTGACTCGGGCACTCGCGGCCGCATGTGCTACAGCACCATGCGCTTGATGTCGATGGAGTGCAACCCATTGACGCCTGTCGCCTCCATACTTGCCGCTTCCTCTCCGCATACATGAGGGCTTCCTCCTGCACCTCGGCAACTGCCTACGTGATCAGATCGCGCCATGCACGCTGATCAACCGCCTTCGATTCCCATGACCTGCAATCAACATTACAATGTGAGAAGCTCACTTTGATCATGTCCTGGTAACAAAGCTTCGGTTTCCCCACACGCCGCTCCCCAACCCTCAGCTGACCATATAATATCTGCTTCGGTATCCGCGTCGAATCCATACGCCACACTTGACCGAGCCACCTCAGGTGTCTCAGCAAAAGTATGCAGTCCACTGCATACATTCCACTTCGGCGTAACACTTCCGCCTCTGCAACTTTGTCGCACCAACCGATTCGCAGAATCCGTCGCAGACACTGTTGATGGAACCGCTCGAGATAACGCACATCCCGCCGGTACATCGTCCGCGATACGGTGACGTATAGAAGAACGGACAGCACCATGGATTTGTAGACCATCAGCTTCGTGCCAACAGTAAGCTGATGATTGTTGTTGATTGGTACTTAGGCTTCCCGAATGCCGCCACTGACTTCGAGACTCGGATACGAAGCTCACTGAGTAGCTGCTGATCATTTGACACCACACTCCCAAGATAGCAGAAGCGGGAGGTGGTTTCTAACACTTCGTCACCAATGCTGATTTGCGGCACCATTGTAGATTGCACCTCCGTTGAAGGCTGAAGGAGGCAGATAGTTTTGCTTGTGTTGATGGTGAGCCTAATTTGGCAGCCGTCGATGCCAGAGCACTAGTCATGTGTTGCAACTCATCCGCGCTGTGCGCAAACAACGCACAATCGTCAGCGAACAGCAACGTACGGATAGTTGTCTCACAGACTAAAGTTCTTGCACCGAAGCGAGGGATGTTCAACAACCCCCCATCAATACGGTGTTCCACACGAACACCATAAGCACAAGCCCCATCAAAAAGACAAGACGTCATGACATGTAAATACTAAACAAGGCAGGAGCTAAGACACAGCCTTGCTTCACACCAGAGACAACTGCAAAGTCATCCGAGGTCTCACCACTCATGTGCACCCTCGCCTGCATAACACTGTGCAGACATCCAATCAAACTTACTCGGACAGCCAAACTTACCTAACGCCAGCCACAATGCTTCGCGGTTCACCGTATCAAATGCCTTGGTGAAATCAACAAAAAGCGAGTACATCGGCTGGTGTCGTTCTCTGCACTTCTCTTGCAACTGACCAGCCGCAAACACCATAATTATGGTGCTGCGACCCGAACGGAATCCACATTGCTCTTCTGCCACGTTCGGTTCCACGACCTGACTGAGAGGGCAGTTGAGCAGGATTCGGGCAATCACCTTGCCCACACAACCCAGCAAGTTGATGCACCGATAATTCGCTCAACATTTCTTGCTCCCTTCGCTTTTGTACAGTGATATCACAAGGGCATCCCTCAGCTCAGGAGGCACCTCCTCCTCAATTCACACGCGTTGCACCAAGTGGTGCAGCGCATTCACCAAAGTTGGTCCGCCGTATTTCAATACTTCAGGCGGGTTCCCGTAGGCTCCGGCACATTTGCCGTTTCGCAGCTGAGCAAGTGCTCCCTGCGGCTCTTCCAGTGTCGGCGTGTCTGCCAGACTCGCTTTTGTGTTTCCGCTGATTGTACGGATAACCGATACAGCCACTTTCCAAATCAGAAGACAAAGTCCTCTGGGGAAACTTGTATGGAGCACTCGGGAGACAGAATGTACATGCATTATATGGGGTCAGAATAACTAGTTGATGAGAGAAAGACCTAATTGAAACTTCCTGACGATAGCAACTACTAGATGCGCAAAATATCGCTTGTTGGCTGATCAAGTACTGTGCCCATTGGAGGGATCGCCTTCATATCGTGTTGCTTCAGGTCGTTCAAACTACGCCGGTCAATCTCTGAACGTGGTGCTGAGGCGGCGTTGCCAACCCAGTAGAACGTGTAGCCAGCACCTGCTTTATGCAACTTACCTTGCTCAGCGAGCCGAGTGTCACTGAGCGCCGCATTATGGATGTTGTAGCGCTCCAGTTCCATTGCGACCAGTGCAGTTTGTCGCTCGGGGCGCTCACTCGAGTTCCGGTCCAGTAGTGTGCGTGCGTTCCATCACCCGATGCTGAGTGCTTTGCGCGCAGGCATACAATTGCATTGGTGTTCAATCGCACGCGAGGTGGCGGTTGTGCTTCGGAGGTTTGCTTGAGGGACTCCACCCGGAGCCTTTGGCTAAATAGCCTAACCCACAAGGCATTTTGTGATTTAGAGGTGTGCTTGAGGTACTCCGCCCGGAACCTTTGACTGAATATCCTGACCCACAAGATAGTAGGAAGCAGATGCAGCTCGGGAATGTGATTGCAGAGATAGATTGGGCTCTGATTGATGGCCGTCACATGCAGCTTTCGAGATACTATAACGATTCATATATGTTTTGCGACCGTAGTAAGTTACGTACCTGCGACAACGGCCAGACGCAGGAGGATTTTTGCTGATTTGTACCAATTTGGCCAGGGGTTGCCTGGGTTGAAGCGGGCAGTAGCAAACCATTGAGCACCCGGAGGTACGCTCCCACCGTCAATGACAATGCGTGGCGCTCGTGCTCTACGCCAATTGAGCTGTGAGCTTAAAACCCGTAGACCTGTTGTCTCCCATGGCTAGGTTTTACAGGAAGCCGACTATCGTCCATTTCCTAACCTCCGAAGAGGATGGACTAGGATACTGCCAGGGTGCCCACACATGACAAAAGAACGACTCGGGTCATCAGCCAAGACCTTCGATTAAATGTACATCCGAAAGGCAGCGGGTCTATCACATGGTCAGTTCACTAACTCATGTAGATTGGTGTCCTGGATATTAGCAGGCAGAAGGGCGTAACCCAACTCCCACCCAGCGGTCGCCACGAGGAGACGTCCAGGACATGAGCCCTTGACACAACATTAGCAGGAGTGGGTAGACCGTCTGTCAGGATCTAGGCACCACGACCCTCAGCGCACCATAGGCTCTGCCGCTTCTCTCTCGATATATATATATATATATATATATATATATATATATATATATATATATCACAATCAGTGGTGGAGATATTGTACTATCGGAATCACGGCAGAGTCGGAATAAAAAGCATACAACTTTTTTTGTCCAGTTTCTCACTGTCTTTGCTTTTTTTATAGCTTTTTTATTATGGAAGGGAAATCGAATCCCTGCAAATCGCAGTTACACCTCCGCCATTGACGTCCGTCTTGAGGCATGACTTCCGGGGCCTCCAACCAGCGACACTCCGTATCTGTGAAATTCCAACCAGTGAGTCGGGACCGACCGGACTAAGCCAACCGTTTCGTTAGCTTTTTCATGCCGCTTCTCCAAATCGTAGGTTGTCCATTGCGCCTTCGCCAGCCCTTTCCAGCCACCCCGAACAAAGCTCGACGCGGAAGACGTACTGGCACGCACAGTACGTGTCCAAGCCACCTCAGCTGACGCAGCAGGACCATCCTCGAGCGAGTGGCTGCCTCCACCCATGACACACTGTCTACTTTCCACATTAGTTACGTGGTGCAGCCACCACGCACGGGCAATGGTTCGCAAGCAACGGTGCTCGAAGATAAACAACTGGCGCAGTTCAGCGGTACGAACAGGCCGTGTCTCGCAGCCGTACAACAGTACAATAAACCCTCCCTTTTACTTAGCCGGATGTCATGGTGGTGCCACATGTCTCGGCCTGGAGAAAGCGAAACGAGCTCTTGAAATACGCATCGAAATCTAATCTCCAACTGGCCAACCAGCGGTAATGTAACTTACCAGGTAGACAAAACTATCCGCGACTTCCATTGTCTCACCACCTAAAGTGGGAGCAGATACAGGTATCTGTTACACCTATCTCCCTGTGGTTCAGTGGTCTTTACCACAGCAGTTCAGTTGCAGATTCTTTCACCTCTGGTCCCAGATGTAAAGCGCATTGCTGGCGACATCTGCATGAGTTGAAGCGAGCGCCCGTTGCTTTTCTGAGTATGAAGTGGCTCTCTAACTGAGTATAACTGATCAATCTCCTTCAAACTACATTAGTATTGTTACTGGCGATCTTTACAAACGAAAACATGTTTTCATTACTTTCAACTCGGTCATGCGCGCATCCACCTGCATATGGTCCTTAACGTTTTTACGGATTACAACCCTCGGATTTCACTCCACAGTCCGTGTTTGTTCGTGCTTTGTTGAATTTTTGACAAGAAACGATAATTATTTCATGCATGCATGATGACCTGTTTTGCGTTTATCTTTTCGTAGCCTGATTGCATCTTAATCTTTTTCAGCCTAAACCTCCTCGGACGATTCGCCCGTTTCACTGACTCTGAACGCCAGCATTCCATTTTTTCGTTTTCTCCACTAGCTAAACTTCAAACCGTCATGTGTTACTCCATGAAGGAGGCGAACTTCATTTTGAATGAAGTTCAGTCATCTATCAAGTACGTGATTCTGGCCACACCTCGCGGGAAAGCTGACTGCTCATCTGCAACCACAGGAAACGTCCGTATAATAGAGTTTGATGAATTCATTGTAAGTCTGACCTATCCCTTACTATTCGATTCGTCTTTTTTCATCTTCCTAAAATATTTAATAATATATATGCTTATTCATCCTAACGGTCACTCCTTGATATCAGGCATTTGTCTTTGGGTTACAGATCTCATCCAGTTGTTTTTAATCTAACTGCTTTCCTTTTTATCTTTGTGTATGCCCGTTCTGTTTCAGTCATTGCAGCAGATCGGGTGTTGGTTGGTCTGCTTGACCCAGGGGGACAGTTTGTCGTAATGATTTCCGCTGGCATCAGTACGCCGATATGCAGTACCAACGCTTTGCTGCCGTGTAACCACCACCAGTCGTACGTGGGCTAAGGATACTGCGTGGGTCATCCGGTCCCTACGCAGGCTCAAACCGGCGACCTCAGCTTACGAGGCAGGCGTGTTATTCTTTGGGCCACTGGCCGGGTCGAGTTAGTGCATAGTTTTCCAGAATGGGGTCCTCAGGATGGGTTACTTCAGTGTTTAGAAACCCCATTGGATTTTCCTAACTCACGGATCCAGCAGCATTCATGCATTCGCTTTTTTGCGTCTGACTAATCGCTCCTCTACTTGACGATCTTATCCTTCACAATTTCTCCTTACTTTTCCTTTCCTCAATCCCTTTTCACTACACTTTCGTGCATGGATCTTCGTCGAGCCACTGTTTTGAACTGAGTCTGTTTCAACTTGCAGTTTCAACCATCTCGCGATCGTTGACGACTCAGCAAGCTTCTCCCTGGATTACGTATGCATTTCTTATAACTCATTCTCTTTTAGCTGCAATTCGGACTTCGCTATCACCTGCGCTCACCAATCCTCAACCTTCCATTACATCCTCTTCTTTTCGCGCCTTTTCCACTCTCTTGAACCTGGCACTTACTGTCTTATCGTTAGTGTATGAAGTGTTATCCGGTGTATAACTAACTGTTTACCTATTCTTTTCCGACAGTTATCTTCCTAATTATAAAACTTTCACCTTGTGCAATGAAGGTAAACGGACAACCATATCTCTTGTTTATTTTTGTTGCGTCATTTGTTATTGCTGGTTACCTCACCGTGCTTTGTTCTTTGTTGTCCTTATACCCTATTGCTTTCATTGTTTGTAGCGTCTTGGAAAGGCGAATCCGGTGCCTAAGCAAGTACGTTTATCAGTTTACATGTGGTATCTCTTACTCTTATACCCGTCTCTCGTAACTTCCCATCCCACCCATCAACCTATCTGGTAATTTTCCTCGACCGTGGTATCCACCGTGCTTTTATCCTGTATTTAGAAATCTTCAGTTCATACTATCTGGTGACACTGAGTTATCTTCGTCATTATACCACGCATTAGCCCAAATTGAGAGGCACCTCAGCTTTTGTACCGCATTTCTGTCGTTCTTATTCTGTGACACTTTTTCCACGTCTCTTATGCCGAATGTCGTCACGCACCTATTCTCTCCTACTACGTTTCATGTTATTTATCAGACGGACACATCTGAAATAGATGCTAATTCCGCCCCTTAATTACTTCAGAATGTAGAAATTCGCGCTAGACCGTAATTCCTTTCCGCTCTGGTAGGGCTGGATTTCTTCTCCAAAGGATTTACCGTACCTCTATCGAGTATCGTCTTTTTTCCGTCCGTTCGAGATGCTGGGGTTTGTCCAGTACATTCAGCATAACAGATCTACCACCGGAATTTGTCCACCTCAACTTACTCTACAGTTGCGCCTGGCCACTCTTGAACAGTTATACTCATTTTTGAAGTACATAATTCACTTTGCTTTCCTAACATGTCACGACCGTGGTCCCGTACTTGGATTCCTTACGATTATTTTACCACCAGAAATTCTTGCTTGAACCCCTTCGATCGAACCTTTTTTACCATGCATTATGTTTCTGAGTGATTCAACAACCACTGGTCTTTGAATGGGCCCCATGTCATATCTGAGATGCTAATTGTTGGTTGACCATCTACACAGGGATGAAACCAACCGTTTTCGACAAACAAGGAAATAACTTAACAACAGCGCTTGGTATCAAGGCTTTCGGATCTGGTAGTCGCCGGTATTAGTTTCATCCTGTTTTGTGAGTCTATAATAGTGCTAATTGCTATTAAACTGCTATGTTAGTTTCTCTAATGGGTAAAGGTACTAACCAAACCGGACGCACGGATGTTAAGCAACCGGGAACACCTGGCTGCTTTCGATCTCTTTTCGGGTTCTCCAAGCTGACAGGACGATAACTAAGGTCATGACGTTGCAATACTTCAAACAAGAATTATGCAAACGTTTCATGCGCCATCTTATTGTCCTTTACGCTGAGCTACTCTTAACAACAAATTGACATTCGCTTCCCCAACGGCCAGTGTCATTCAACGAATTCACCCTTCTTGCAGTCTACTGCTTTTTCCCATGGAACTGTTCACCGAGTTTAACGTTATATGACCGCACGTTGCAGCTATTGTAGTCTCATTTGATCGGCTTATATATTTGCAACAGTCTGCGGATGGATACAGAGCCATCAGAAACCATGGAACTCAAAGGAAGATACAGTTGTCCTAAAAGGAAAACCCAACACAACACCGAGAAATCCATGGTTTCTTCCGAGAGCACGATACTACCCGGTTGCCCAAACCGTAGTGGGGTGTTGACTTAGGGGACACTACCCGGAGCCTTTGGATGAATAGCCTACCCGCAACGCAGCGGAGCGAACTCAGAGAATCGCGCCCGTTGGGAGTCGATGACTGAATGCTCAGTTCACACGCCTTTCGTTTGGCTGCGAAACGGACCCAGTCCTCCCCACAATTTTAGCATCGCTTTACTCCACTGACAAGTCATCTCCGTTATCTCGCAATGTTGTTAAATGGACATATGGGACATTTTATGGGTCGAACGCTTGCCAAGGTAAAACCCACCACGCCCTGAAGCACTGCTGCCCAAACTGGATAAACCCGAACCACCCAGCTGACAGCACGTGGAGGTTGTTCGGCTCGCGGTCTACTGAAATTGTGAAGGCGCAGTCGTTTCGCTGTTTGGTGCTCATGAGACTGCTTCCGCTGCTCCTCGCGTATTATGTGCTTTTGGAACACAGGCGGCTGCAGGGTCTCCATCTTCCCAACAGCAGTCAGTCTACTCTAAGTCATTGACTTCCGGAATGTTTATTTCCTTTCTTTTCTGGCATTTTCACCGGATGCGCACACACAGGAGTGCCGCATCGTCAGACTGTGTACTTCATTCAAGCCATGTCTTTTTCCTTCTTTTTTTCTCAGCTCCCAAATCCCAGCGCTGTCTGCAGTTTGTGCTACACCAGTGGAAGTACAGGTGATTGTTTCTTCTTGCTTTTATTCCCCACCATTGTTCACGTTAAACCCGCCTGAAGTTGTTCACCGGACTTATCTTTCAGTTTATCACTAAGTCAACACCATCCATCTACACTATATACACATGTGATCCCAACGGCAGGTAAATCTCAGCTCACTGTATCACCACCGGATCTCTAGATCGTGTAGTCCCTACAATATTTTGGCCGTTCTATCATTTTGTCCGTTTATAGTCGGACAGGATGTAGTGGATTTACTCATAATCGATTTACCATCTTCAGTTTTATTTTCGCCGTAAATATTCGACTACTTTTTATCAATGCTTCTGTAACTCTGTTATGTCGGTGCACCTAATAGAGAGTTAAAGTAATGATGTGATCCTGTTCTCTTGTGATACCATATATTGTTATTGAATTTTGTCATGTTTTGGGTCTTTCAGACAGGTCAAATGTTGTCTCTTATTGTCGCCTAGTGCAAAAACTTTGTTACCAAGTGATGAGAATAGCGTGAAGAGCTTTTCGTGCTGCTCCTCGTTATTGTCTGTCGCACTATTTCCGTCACTCGCAGCGCGTGACAACCACCAGTGACCGGGATATCCATTAGCTTCCAGGGTCACATGAACCGGCGAACCTTTTTCCACTGATAAACTTTTGATCGATGAGAAGTATTCCTTGTTCACAAAAGATATCTGCGCACAGCCAGTCGACTTAGCTAATCTCATGGGAAGCTGGTAATCGATTTTATATTAAAACCGGACCCGTCGTCCTGCAAGTCGCTATGAGCATTTGAGTTAAGATGGCAATTGTTGGTGATCAAGCGCGTTTTATGTCACAATAATGCTTTTTGATTTGGTTATGGTTAAATACAACCAGCGTTTCGTGATTTCACGCTACTCGCCTAAGTTATTGCGTGCAACCTACAAATTCTAAGCATTTTTTTCTACATGCCACGGTCTTTTCACTTGGTGCAACCGTTTCGTCATCTTTGGAAGAATGAAGCATTACAGAGAAGCTGTTTAAATTTGATGCACCCCACTTTGGTGTTCTTTGCGACTATGCATTCGCTTGATAGGTGTTACAATACTCTAACTATTCCACTACGAGCCACTCTTCATAAACACGTTTTTAGGTGCGCTTTTGCACCAGGTATTTGCCGATGATTGTTAATGAATAGGTTTTAGTTTAATTGCTTCCCAAGTTGTATGGTATGGAACATTTACTCTGCATCACTCGTAGCCTCTTACGCCATGTTATCACCATCGTTTTCCTGTGACTTGCCCCCGGACCCTCCCTGTCGTCAGTCATTAAATGCTGCAACTGGTTACACATAATCTCATCTCGTTTCATACGGCTCTGTGAGTCTTCAAGCTTCGTTTTATTACCGCCCACTTTTGGAACCATGGAGATCACGGAGAGTGGAAAAGTATGCTTTCGTCCCCCACAACAATTCTACGTCACTACTTTGTTCTATAGCACTTTACTGCCGTGCAGCAAAACTAACGATGGAAAGCCCTACTGAAAACGAGGAGCGACGAGTAACTGGATGTAAGGCCTTTTCGGGCATGATGCCCACACCTGGATGCGGGCACAAACAGTCGGCTACTGTATTCCTATTGTTATTATTATTATTACCACCTAAGATATTTGACACATGATGTACTAACTTGTCGTGTGAAGTTAGAGCGGCTTCAGCTTTTACACTTCAAAGTGAGTCCTTGGTGGCCCTGCATTACATCATATGGGATATTCAGTCCCATCCCACCTACCCATTCTGCTAGTATGTGGCGTAGATAAATAAAGCTACGGTTCAGCAGATACAGATAAATCATAGTGTTCAGGTTTGGTTCACCATAGTAACCGCTGTTATTGATCGAGTGGCGTTTCTTTGAGCGACTTCCACCAGAAGACAGATCGTTGCATCATCATCGCTGACCTAATCGCTTAATTCGTGAAACGATGAGTGCGCATGGGCTAGTTTGTCTGAGAGCAGAAAGTACAACTCTTAATGAGTTGCATAGGAAGCAGGATAAAGACATTGCCAATAAAAGCATAAACAAAAACGTTACATACATATATACATACAGTGTTTTGTAGTTCCCAGATGTTCTAGGGAAAGATGGGCTTTCTAAACTGCTTCTTAGTAATATTTGTGCTGCTGCGTGGTAAACCGGTGACCTAACAGTAATTATCAGATTGGTTTGATGAGCCAAATTCATGTGGCCCTAAAAGCAGTTGACACCCCAACCTTTTTACCGTCTCAGTCATGTCTGTTGTTGCGAACGTGCACATGGTATGCGCTTTTAGGATTTCTTTCCTCTACCAACACTCATACATGCAACGAAACTATTCAACCATCACTTTAACGGCTGCGTTTTTATTCTCTCGTTCCCAGGAATACCCAAAGGGGCGGTGCTGGCCCATGAAAAAGTAACCAACGCAGTGTTGAATGTCATTAACGGCACTGCAGGAAAGGCAAGTGTTTTCCAGCTGTTTTGGTGGTAGTTCTCTGCCACAATAGGTCACATCAAATCTGATAATGTGAGACCAACTGCCCTGCTTTGTACGGCTCCACACCTCTACTGGTTGTTTATCTGAATCGTCGTTCTAGGAGTTGGTAATCTTATGTTCTTTTTTTCCAGATACACAAGCTGACCCACTTTTGAATACCGACTACCGCGATAGAGCGTCATTCTATCGAATGTGATCTTGCGCACACACGGAATAACCCCATTTATTACCGCGCATCCTCAACATCTTACATTTGTGCAATGCGTTTTTTGCATCTGCAATACCCAAAGTGGGCGTCTGAGAGTTCTTTGAATTCCGACACGGATTTCGCGTCGATTATTGTCTCCGGTAAACTACACTAATATTTAATCACTCGACGTTCGAAGCAAATAGGGCGAGCTATGCGCTTCAGACCCGGTACTTCTGATTTGTACTGGGGCCCTTGTGTACCCAGGTACACGCATATGCAGCAACATCATCAGCATAAGAAAATAACCCGGATGCAGGATCTGGTGTATCATTAGGAAGCCAACTTGAAACGTACGGTACGACAGCGTGTATAGCCTCAGTCTCTTACATCGGTCTTCGTACGACATGCCTCGTAAACTGGGGATGGGTCTGGTAGCTTCATGCTGAACATCCTCCAGTTTTTGCACCTTGCCACATGTGATTAGACTAGACTGCGCAGCGCATTTGTGGCCGAGTTGTTCATCCTGGAGAGAAGAGGAAGCAAGCTGATCTACCTCCACAACTTTACTAGAGCCCCTTAAAGTTCGCCGGTTTGGTAACACAGAGTTGGTGGCTGAACCTTTCTTCTTAGCGGCTAGTGCTTTAGAACTTATCTATAGAGTGGGAGATAAATGGAGTCGATATAGCAAACCTAATCAAGAGGGAAATGGGTAAGGCCTTAATGGGTTGGGCAGCTGGGAAGGAATAAGTGCGGCGAAATACGGGAGAAAGGGAAAGTGGAGTACCAAAGTTGGAGTTCGGTATGAATACACTAAGCCTATGCCTATAGACTTGTAAAATTGTTCAAAAAGCAGTTAAACGATAGAAACCAACCGTTTAGAAAATTCGCTATATATTCAATGCACCATATCCGAAAAAGAATCCTGAAAACAACAGCGGAAGCACGACCGGGCAGCGCTATTCGCAGTATATACACTTCACAACAGTTCGCTTCACTGGCTCATCCTTGTTATTTGAATTGTCGCGGACTCCATTTCCATTGGTTCACACCCGCTCGCTACGCTCATTCTGTCTAAAATTGCCTGGTGGATTGTACCATTGGCTCGATTGGGCACTCATCCATCAGGCCGCACACTTCTTTCCTCGATCCATTACGACAAATCTTGGCTCAGCTGCGCACCAATAAGCTCCTCACGAGTATGCGCTTCTTCGCCTGTGCTTTTGGAACCTGCCGGCTCCTGGTTGGTCACTTGCACATTCAGTGGATGTTGGCTGACTGCGCTTGCAGAGCTCGACGCGGGTGTGCGCCAACCATTTGCTGCCTGGCTGACCAATCTGCTTCCAATGACATGCTCATTTTCTATCGGGCTGGATTGCACCCATTTAATACTTTGCGAGATGCCCGGTGGCGTTTGATTGGCCATCTGCTTATCGGTACCACAGTATTTCCAGCCCCCATCCCAGAATCGACTTTCGCCAAGCTTCAATCCGTCATCGGTAATTTACAGCGTCCCTTCAGGGCCACAAGTTCGTATGTAGACGAATCGACCATCTCATTATTCTGTTCACCTAGTTCACTCTATTTGGGTTGCAACACAAATTTTAAGTGTGAGTGTACCTTTCTTTGAGCTTATTCATGGTTTTCTCGATTCGCTAGACCACATTTGAACTCCACTCATCTTGTTATTGCCCTGTCCTAGCCGTACGCGTCTGTTTCCTCGACAACCGCAAGGGCATGCATGCGCATTCTTTTTGACAAGATGAAGGATCTCCGAATTGCATTATTTATCTAATTATAATTACTATTATTAGTAGTAACTGTTATTCCTGACAATGTCTGCCTGAACTATCCACATTATCCTTTTACTTATTCCATTTCGCTCCCCATTCTTTTGCAGTTTGCGGAACAGGCCACCGTGCATCTGTGTTATCTCCCACTGGCCCACATATTGGAACAGATCATAACGGTCCGTAATGTTTATCAGCTACTTCGATGATTCAGTTTGCGGAGCGTATTTAACACCTGAATATGTTGCTTATAACGATTTGCTATTTATTTAAGACCATGACTCCCATTTCGGTTCAGACGAGTTGTCTTTCCATTGTTTAATGACGGTCCGTTGACCGACTTTTGATGGGATGCAATGATAAGGATGCGAAAGAAGGAAGGCTACCCAATCCAACTGGAGTGACTGAAAGGCAACCTTGGAATCACTAGATAAGGATGTCAAATGCTAGAAGCAAGAATACCACTGATTTCGTGTCTGCATCGTATATGGTAGGTTTATCAAATAGTTATAAAGCTGATTTCGAGACCCTATCCAGGAGACGATACACAATGGCTGAGATATTTTCCACATCTAGCTAACGTGTATAGTGATGATGATGATGATGATCTCGACCTCGTGATCAGTACCCAACTACTTCTCTCTCATGTTATATTTTCAACTTTTCATCCACGCAAATGAGCTATAGGCATTCGATGCATCCCAATGTACTCTGATAACTGATTTGCGGGCGATGCGGCCTAATCAACGCAGTCGCCTTAAGTGCGATGCCCGAAGATTTTTGACACGCATCCTAACATCACTTGCCCAACTCTTCAACCAAATACCAACAACGCTTGACAAGTGCCAGCTGATAGAAAGACCCAGCCTCCCACTGTGTTCAGTGCGAAGTGTCCAAGCCACTTAACTACACCTTGATATCGTATCGCGTTTTACAATCTAACCTTAACCGGTAGACTGACATATCGCCGTCTCTGTAACAGACTGGGTCTTCGGAAAGCGATATAGGCGTTACCGGTTCCATGTACCATCCCGTTCGATAGTATCATTTACTAATGAATAGGGCTATCTAGATAAATGAGCCAATTGACCTCTGCGTGGTTTCTAGTGAGAAATCGGCAGTCAACAACTGTCATCTTTTGATGACTCGAGGCAAATGTCCAGGTTTCACCCGCAACAGAGTAGTCGCGAACTATTTTATCCCGTCTTCCCCATTTAACATCGACAACACATCTTGTATACGAACACTTTCATTCCTGGCATGGTGTCCCAGAACATATTGACGTCAGCAACGATGCGTCGCATTCGACTTTACGCCGACGCGTGACCACCACCAGTCGATAGCGGCGTGGAGATACTGCGAGGTCACTCGCATCTATGCACACTTGCACCGATAGCTTTCGGATTACAGGGTAGGCAAAGCCTCATCTTTTCGGTCCGCCAATCGACTGCCATGTTAACCTGCAACACTCACCAAGGTGATACATTGGCTAAAGACCTTGAGGATTGGTGCTCCGTTATTTTTTCAAGCCCTTGTTTGTACACCGTAACAATTAAATAAACGTATAACTTGTTTATTCTCGACAACGCAAAGCACGGTTGTACGCGCATGATCACGGCAAGCGGACAAGTGATCGAGAAATTTACAAAGATATAACAAGCTTGATAAATCAATGGATCCATGGAAGTGTATGTGAATGTGTAACGAGTGCCTCAGTCTGAAGTTGATGTCGCATAAATCATGCTTCTCTACAGCAGTTTGCCTACACTGAATTACACTCAGACTGAATCTTCTTAATCTGGATAAGAACTATTCCACCTTACTTGATTTGCTCAGCTTTGTTATTCTGCTGCATATTCCATGTCAATTTGCTTGTTTATTTTCCTCCAAGTTATTTGTTGGTTGTTGGATGTCCCCGGTGTGATTGCGCTTGATGTGAATGTTGACAAGCTGCCTACCTGTCTAATACCCTCTACCTCGATTACTGGCTCCAGATGATTGAATCGTTTCTTGGGGGTGCACCGTCCTCGTAGCCATTCTAGACTCAAAGGGTGGTTCCATCCAGTGTGGGGCGGACTACGGTACAGCCATCGCTTTGTGTACGTCTGGTATGCATGATTCCCTACGTAGATAGAGGAATGCTGCTGCTGTGTATGTTGAAGGCGTGTGGGTGTGAGTCGCTTCCATTGATTAAACGCGGCTCCCATCCACATGCCTTCTGATTTACACTAGATATGGGTCTTCCCTCTGTAGACGCAGACGTTCTGTAGCTGTCCTATGGAGACCGCAGTGATTTGCAAATCCGGAACTGGATGCCGCCAACCATATATGTGAATAGCGGGATTGCTTGGGTTTGTAAATGTGCGGCTGCAGTTTTGACTGTGTCTGGTCGCGTCGCCAGTGTGAGAAAGGATTATTGATGCCCGTGGATTGGATGTGATTTTCTGGGTAAACGAGGGGCAGTGACTTTAATGGGTGGCGAGTCACGACCGCCAAGTCGCAGTGTTGTTAAACAGAAATTTGTAACTTTTATAGGGAGACCGCTTTCCAAGCGAAAACCTACCACATCCTCAAGTACTGTGGCCTAACCGTTTATGGAACGGGGCAAACCCGAGCCCCCCAGCTGACAATACGAAGATGTGGGGGGTGGGTTTCGGCTTGCCAGATGAAATTTATAAACCAAATGACCATGCTAATAATAACAATGATATATGTATGAGGCTGATGTTGCATTCTTGATGCTTCTTCACCGCACTTGGGCTAAATCAACTTACACTTAAACTAAGTCTTTTTAAGCTGGCTAAATTTCATTCCACTTCATTTGGTTTATTCTGCCTACCTGACTAATCTTCTCTTAACTGGCCACGTTGCTTGCGCTAATTGCGCTTATCTTTGATAACTGTTGCGTTTGTTGAATTTTATGTAATTTGTGGACGTTTTTTACTTATCGCGGATTCGTTGCTAACCAACTTACTTCACATGCTGATGAAGCGAAGAGTTATGCCACCGTATCTGTATACATTATTGGATTTATTTTATTTCATCTTGTTGTTTCAAGTGATTGGCTGTTGTTTGACATCCCCGGTGCTTCTGCGCTTGATGTGCATGTTGACAAGGTGCCTACCTGTCTATTACCCACTACCTCGTCCAGGAGACAGTTGGTCGTTGCTGGAGGTGACGAGGTGCACGGTCTTCGTAGTCAGGCTAGGCTCGAAGAGTGGTTCCATGCACTCAGTGTGGAGCGGACTATGGTCCAGCCACCGCCTTGTGTGCGGTTGATTCCCCAAATCCAGTGTGCTTGTGTTTGCCTGTGAAGGTGTGTGGGCCGGCTCCGTTGATGAAACGTGGCTCCCACTCACATGCCTCCCGGTTTTATTTATTTGGGTTTATACTGGATATGGGTGTGTGGATGGAACTGTGGGTGGTGCAACGCAAGCCTCCTATGGTCCCTCTGTAGGCGCAGGCGTCCTGTGACTGGTCACAGCGACAGGCAAATCCGAAACCGGATGTCGCCAACCATATACTCGAGCACACTTTTGGACAATTGGATAAGTCGTCTGGCATACAATCTAAAATTCATCGGTTCGAGTCTGCATAGCTTTGGGCGACCTCGCAATATCCTTATCCCACGCGGTAATAGTGCTAGTCATGTTGCAACGAAGAGTTACTACGGTGTGCCGTCGTACTGCCCATGCTTTACCTTTCCTTGTCGTTTTACGCAGGATACCCTTTTTGGCCGAGTTTTAAGAGATACTTTCTACCTCGTCTATCACGCGCTGGTAGGAAAAATGTAAATGAATTATTTGGAGTTAACATGCGATTTAGTTCACAATTTTTCGCTTTATTTTTAGGCCACGGCTGTGCTGTGGAGTCATGTGTTTGGCAGATGGCCAAATGGATTACACGCCTGGCTTGCAATCCTTAGGTCACCAGTTCGAATCCGTATAGGGGCGGGCGTCATCCCGGTATACTCAGCTGCCGGTGGTGGTCGCGTGACAGTGAAACGTCGGTACAGTGTGCCGGCGTACTCCTGATGGCTGACTTTTTGTAGAATCAAGTTGAATTTTTGAGGTAGGGGTTGATGTAACTCAGAGCAATACACATTCACCAAAGTTAAACAGTTAATCTGTGACTAGATGCTCGAGAATACAGGTGACGAGTAATTCCACTCGTAATAACAACTGTCTGGGAGTGCTGACCGATAAAAGACACTCGAGAATAAGATTCAGAGAAGAGCAGTAGAAACGCAACTGCCAAGGTATAGCAATTGTATAGCTTGATTTTAGTAACATATTTGCTTGGAATTCGACATACACTCAGCGACAACAAATTGGAAAAGGGTATGAAGCATAATCGGCTTGCGAATTTCCTTTGCAGCTTATCTGTGTACGTAGGAGCATTCGAATAAGCGTGACCGAATGAGTATGAGATCTAACTGGTGTATAGTGTTGGGATGTGTGCACGGTCTGCTTTTTTATCACCTTCCATAAAAATACGAAAGCTTTCATGTACGCTTACGGAATGGAGACACATGCTTCACCGTGCCTGAATCATTTCCCTTCTGTTTACACCAGTGCTTTTAGTAATAGGTGGGAAACCTGTAACAGCCTATAGATCATCACTAACGTAATCTCCAGCTGAGGTTCTCAATCACACTTGCGTCTTCGGGTCTTTGAAACGGTCACATAGAACATGTGTACTCGCCCCCTACCAACCTGGAGTAGTTGCTATTTTTAACACATTGAATTATCCTCTTCAGTAAAATTTACACGTAACTATCTGTTTCCCTTCCCTCCTTCTATTTAGAATATAGTCCTTATTTCAGGTGCATGTGAAGCATTCCTCACCGGAGGCCCGGAAACCCTTCTGGCGGACCTTCGTGAGGTGCGACCGACTGTTTTCGGAGCGGTGCCTCGCGTGCTTTGTCGGTTTGCCGGGGAATACTACAAGAAGATTCCAAAAGCCACGTGCTTCAAAAAGATGTTAGAGAGTTGCATTAGAAAGAAGAATGCCGAACAAGCCAGGTAAAATCGTCGGGATCAACAAAGCGAATTTTTCATGCTTACCTATTATACGCTCTTGCATTTCCTCACCATTGGTTTTGTTTGACATTCGTCCGTTGAATACCTAGATAGTTGTCTTTTTCCCCTCTTCACTTCTCTTTTGCAGGGGAAAATTCAATCATGCCAGCGTCGCAGACAAACTGTTATTTAAAAAGTTCCGTCAAGCACTTGGGGGCCGCGTTTGTGCAGTCATTTCAGGTGGCGCACCCTTACCTTCAGAAATTTCGCGTTTCATGCGAGCCGCTTTAAACTGTCCTGTAAGTGCTTTATGTGTTTCATATCAACTCGGATTCGTTATTTGCATTATTCACCGGGCTGGACAAGTTTGATACAGTGATTTCGTCCTTAGTCGAGCTGACATTCTGAGTGCAGGAGTGTTGTCGGTTTCATTGCAAATGCCGGTAACAGTGAAATCCAGAAAAAGATGTCGCCTACTGTTCTCCATCTTTTTATAAGCTTTTGGCGTTATTAAGCATATAGAACAAACAGGGTGAAAATTGTCAGCAAAGATACAGGAACAGAAGGATTTGGTAGATGCATTGTACATCGTCACTGTTCTCAGCTCACGGGGATAAAGAAAGGCACCGTTTCGATTTAAACAAAAAAGATGCTGATCAAAGGAAAGACATCAAGGCAGGTTTATTCTTCACCAAAGATTTATTGACCTCGTATACTAGGCACGGAGATAGAAGCTCTTCAGTCGAATTAAAAACGGCAATTCGGAATAAGACAGACTGGTACCTGATCAGTGAACAGGCCAGTCGACGTGAGCCAGCACTGTTGCTAACTTCGCACCCATTGCACCTACCGATTTGCAAGCATCTCGCACACGTTACTATAATGTCCTTGCAACCAATAGCAACCATCTTAGTACTATTATCTAAGGCGCTCAGCATAAGGCAATGTTATTAGCGCCAGAACCTTACATAATGACTGGAGCAATACCCGGTAACATCCATTTCTGGATTTACCTGCCACCTGTCTCCAGAGAAACCGCCAACTCCTCTACACTGATCACATCACCTCGATTCTTGACGAAATGTTTCCAATCACAGTGTCCAGTCCGGAACTGTTCCTTCCATCCATCCAGTGAATAGTGATTTTCCTGTCACTTTTTAAGTTGTTTTCTTGCCGTGAAGTACTTTATATCATCCGAAACCACCGGGACTTCTTTGTTCATGCTTTTGGGTTTATGAAAAGCTGCAAGTGAAGAGCATTTTTTTTCCGAAATAGGTGTCCAGTGCTTCGTGATAGTCTCGTTGGGAATCTACAGTCATCAGTGTGCCTACTTTCTCCAGCAACATTGTGAATAAATAAAATAAATTTGCAGCTTGCACGATCATTAAGAACCACCATTGTATCAGGTTAGTAGACTACTCTGTCCTCCCTCACTAGCGTTCGTTGCTCTGCGTCAGGTGGTTGACAACTGAGTGCCTTCGCCCCCATCTTCTTATTACTTCTCAGACTTTAGAACTTCTTTATCATCTGTGACATTGCACTTACCGAAACTACGGATTTTCCATACCCATTTTGTTTCTGCCCATCTATATTTTTAGTGCTGGACGTCACTTTGTTTAACGATTTACTTTAACTCAGAATTCGTGTGTTTTCACAGCTTTCACGACATGTATCGTGGTTCCTGGCTGCTAATTTTCCCCGAATTGCGGTTGCTTACTTACGCTTTCTACTTTCCTTCTGTCTAAGGTCATCGAGGGTTATGGCTCCACGGAGACATGTGGCGCAGTGAGTCTCACTTTTCTTGGCGAACCTGACACAAACACCACCGGTGGAATCATCCCTGGGATCGAAGTGAGGCTAGCTGACGTTCCTGATATGGGGATTGTCGCTTCCCGTGACAATGTAGGAGAGGTAACTACGTGTTCTTTGCATTCCGTAACCGTCCTCCATTACCGTATTCACCCTGTCTTCATCTAAAGTGTCGTTTAGACAACTACCTGACTATCTTGTTCAAGTAAATGTGCTGCTCAGTTATGCATGTTGCGATGAACTGGTGCAATGAACTGTGCTAGCAGTACACCGGCTGCTGCCACGTGACCACCATCGGCCACATGCGGGCCAGGGATATTGCGAGATCGATCACGTTTATGTGGGTTCGAACCGGCAACCTTTGGATTACAATACCGGCTCCTTACACCTATCGGTCGCCGGTCGACGGTGGGCGCGTTTACTCAGTAGACTTAAGCCCACACTATGGGATTGTTTGTGACATGGATGTAATGCTTGGGACACTACCTTTTGGTACTGATACACTGTCTTCAATCACCTGATCATTTGGCGCGTGCTACAATAACTGTTTAATTTTGTTCAATTAATAGACACTGTATCTGAACCAACATATATTTCTGCAGTAAGCTTGAATTTGACTAAATCGAAAGCAGTTGCTAACTCCAATTGCACTGCTTAGGTTTCTTCTGGGGATAGATTACTATTATAGCAATGGCGCCGATTAGCCGCAACAATACAAATTTTACTTCAAGTTAATGGGTCAGCCCGAGTAGAGCGTAAGTGCTCATACTCTAAGTTCTCAGTTTTTGTTCAAGCAATACTCCCCGTGGAACTCATCCCATTCTCTCGGTGACACAAATTGCGTGACCTGTCGCATCAGAAAGGTGGCATTCCGCACTAGTAATACGTATGCGCGACATTTCTCCGGCGCAGTAAGTTTCCCTAATGTACAATATCGCTGAAACATTTAGTTTACAATAAACAAATCTTAGCAAGAGCCCTATTGATAAACCTCAACTTTCACGCCGTACCAAATCTTTCTAATATCACGTTGCTGTCCGATGGACTTCGATGAGACGATTTCCATCCACATTTTTTCTTGCTAATCTATCGTCCTGACAGTGCGCCATTACTTGGTCCAACCCCTTCCCCGCGAATCTATTGTCCCCATTCCCTTACCTGTGGTTGTAACGGCCGCGCCTCCGTCCAAACGAACTTCAGTTTTTGCCGGTCTGTGCTTATAAACATGGCTTTTTTCCAACTCAATGTGGGGTGGTGTTTTTCCATTGTTTCATTTCTACTCAACGATATTCTTCGGAAGTAGCGAAGACTACCAACCAAACGTACTGCGTTTCTTCAAGACTCACTGGTAATGCGCATTCCTCTCGCCTTACATCGTACTCAAACCTGTATACGGCGGCAGCTGCCGTGACTAAGTTTCCATCTTTGCCATAGAGCAGCCCATCAGCTGCCGCATACTCGGGCGTAACAAACCATCGGTTTTGCACAGTACTCTGTTACTTGTCTTAAAATTCTTGCTTGTTCGATGCGGCGTTCACCTCTTCGGACTAGTTGGCTAATGTGTCCCAGTTCGACGTACTGTAGCCCCTACCTCGTGCCACATATTCAACCTTTAGTATAGTAGTGCTTTCCTGCTCTTCAACTAGGCTGATGATTAGGCTGTAGCTGCCACTTTACGTCGAGTAGGCGTCTTTGCCTACTGTCTTTCGTTTCGGTTCTTCGTATGCCTTCATTACGTGTTTGCCATATTCCTTGGTTGCGAACACTACCATTTCCTAGTCAAGCTAGATAATAGAGGAAACAAATGGGTTCGTAAGCATTTTCAACTTAGTTCATAAGCATTTTCAAGTTGGTGCGTTTCGAAGTTTGCCTTAGGTGCACACGCGCACGGTCGACTAGCTTCCTCATTGATCAGGCGCGGTCGGCCAACAGAATGCCGTGTGTCACTATAAAGCAGGTGTTCTCAAACTTTTCGGCACGTGCACCCCTTCGTAGTGTAACTTACCACCACGGACCTCTGAGCTTCCCTTATCCATAGAACTAGGCTTTAATAACATAAGGATGAGGTGGAGTTCATCGCTGTACACTGAATTTGCACAGCTGTTTATTTCTGTTGGCAAAAGTGAGGGCTGTTGAACTTACATGGAAATGCAACTATATCAAGCCTTAATACGTTGGATAAAATTCGTTCCGACATGCAGCGCTGACTTGTTTGATGCTAGGTGTTATTAAGGTAAGCTATAACCTTGTATCCCGTCACGCTTCAGGTCTGTTTCGGTACTTTGTTTTGTCTAGATATAATGCGCGAATGCAATCTCACACAGCTAAGTTGTGGCAAATAGGAGAAGCACGGCGACAGCTGTCTACCGTGACAAGGTACACATCGTTCGCTTTGCATCAGAAATCACACAGAGACAATCTGTGAAAAGCTTTAAAAGGAAGAGTCTTAGGTCATCTCCACGCATTTTGTATGCATGGCCGGATACGTTTCTCGGTTCTGCTGTTAGCGCATTACGACAACTAACTATGTAACATGCTTTCGTAGGTTTTTTTACAATCTGTGACGCATGAAGCATGTACGTTTGGGTGTTCAATATTTCATCTCGCATGCGCTGCAAGTACTTTTTTCTGTCTTTACAGTCTGCATGAATTTTTCAAACTGCCGCTGCATTTTAATAGACACCATGTTCAGAAGAACTTTGTTACACAAGTTAACTTGTGGATAATTATTGGACTCCCTAAATCCAAAACGAAGATAAATGTTGTTGTATTTCCGTCTCTTACCCACTGGTACAGAGGATCCGCTTGGCACAGACTTGTATTGCATCACATCACATCATTCTCATGTATACAAACGATGTATTCCAGAGCATATCGCATGGTAATGCCTTCTCCTTTGCTCATGACATCAAAGTCGTCGACTCACCTGAAGTGCAAATGCCCAAGAAGTCATACGTCTCAATCAGGAAGACCTCAGTACACTGGATTCCTGGTGCCATTTGTGGCAGATGTCATTCGCTGTAGACAAGTGTAATAGCTTTTCGTATATATGTCCATTACCGCCAAACTGTTTAGCACACGCATCTCGCAATACAGGACAGTTCGCGAACTGGGTGTGCGATATTCTATCACCTTTAATTTTTCTGAACACTGCTACTTCCAAGTGTGGAAGGCAATGAAGACCATCGGCTATACATGTAGCCACTTTCATCTCAACGATTCTAGAATCTGGCTATAGAAAGCATATGTACTAACAATCAGTAAAACTGTTCAGTGGTCCAATGGAATCTTTGAAAGTCAGACGACCATGCTCTCGAGAGGGTCCAGCGACGCTTCACGAAGAAATGCTGTTATTCCTCAAAACTGACGTACAGAGTGCGGTGCATCGAACTTGGACTTGACGCAGTCTGGCTTCCGCGATCGAAGGTGAACATGCGCCTTTTTTAATCATAAACTATCAATCGCACGGTGCAGAAAAGGTTGTTCACAGGTCTGAGAACAACCGGCACCGTATTCGCAACAAGGAAGAGAATAGAATAGAATGTCACCATTCCGATGTGCACCACAAAACTCAGCAAATGTTTATTTCGAATGCATTATTCTAAGAAATGGAACAAATAACCATAAGACATCAGAACATGTTGTTTAAGCTTGTGATAACTAGGCATCTGTCCGTTCAAAACGCCGTTAATATGTTTGTGGCCTCTCAATCCCTGGATGATGCATTTGAAAACGGTATTCATGGGGCTTGACAAATATTCCGTATAAATCATGCGTGTAAACTAACTAATCACTCGCATAGCACGCTCTGGCGCACAGGCACATATTTTTCCCGCCCTTGCATCTATCACTTGTTTGTAAACTACAGTGTTGCATTTCCTGTTTGAAAAAGCAGCATAGGTTTTGGATTAATTGTGCAACTCATTCACACATGAAATTCATGCTCACAGTCGTTCAAGCTCGCTATGTGAGGGCGCGAAACGATTACAATGTAGTACTGTTATTTGGTCTATCCATTACAGGGAACAGCTTTTCGCATCGGCGAGAAACACGATGTATTTGTTCAGTTATTTACTTACCTAAATTGTTTTTCTGTCAGTTACTCACTGCATATTCCACAAACCATTGCGTTACTCATCCATGTCGAATACAGATTTCATGAATTAATGACAAAACTCGCTGTACAACTGATCGTTTCCCAAATGGGAACGTATCCCGCCTGTCGGGAAACATACACATTTATGTAGTTAGTCCAAAATTATACAACCATCCTGAATACTCAGTTCATTTCTTGGACTATGAAAATGCCCTCCGACCCTCATCTACTCTATCCGGCCAAAAAGGTATGATATAATCACACATTTGACAGTTCCGGATAACCGTGTTTCCGATGTTATCTCCATTGCTGTCACTGGCAAATCATGCAACCAAGATATCACCTGCACCAATTCTCTCAAAACTGATATGTGGCTTGGAACTTCTCGTAACGAGAGTCAGCAGGCAGCGTTGCACACTGATTCTCCTTATCGTGGAGATCTTAATTGGTACTGATTACCAGCAGGTATTCGGGCCCAGCGAAGCATACGGGACGAGGAAATTCGGTGTAATGCTTTTGATTCACCTCGAATTCCAGCAATGGCTTGCTGTTTGGGCGTATTTCAAGCTTCCTTAGCGAGAACAACTCGACCATTTGGCGAGCGATTGCTTTCAATGATTCATTTTCGGACCATTACAACCATATTTAGGGCTAAAAAAGAGCAAAATACACTTTTCGTTTCAGGTAACCGGTAGGTGACTATTTAAAGCTTTTCACAGATTGTCTCTGTGTGATTTCTGATGCAAAGCGAACGATGTGTACCTTGTCACGGTAGACAGCTGTCGCCGTGCTTCTCCTATTTGCCACAACTTAGCTGTGTGAGATCGCATTCGCGCATTATATCTAGACAAAACAAAGTACCGAAACAGACCTGAAGCGTGACGGGATACAAGGTTATAGCTTACCTTAATAACACCTAGCATCAAACAAGTCAGCGCTGCATGTCGGAACGAATTTTATCCAACGTATTAAGGCTTGATATAGTTGCATTTCCATGTAAGTTCAACAGCCCTCACTTTTGCCAACAGAAATAAACAGCTGTGCAAATTCAGTGTACAGCGATGAACTCCACCTCATCCTTATGTTATTAAAGCCTAGTTCTATGGATAAGGGAAGCTCAGAGGTCCGTGGTGGTAAGTTACACTACGAAGGGGTGCACGTGCCGAAAAGTTTGAGAACACCTGCTTTATAGTGACACACGGCATTCTGTTGGCCGACCGCGCCTGATCAATGAGGAAGCTACTCGACCGTGCGCGTGTGCACCTAAGGCAAACTTCGAAACGCACCAACTTGAAAATGCTTACGAACCCATTTGTTTCCTCTGTTATGTAACTTGACTGGAAAATTGTGTAGGCCACGTTTGATTACCCCACCCACCCTGTACTAGGTCGTTCGGAGCGCAATTGATCCCTGTATCTCCTCGCGCTCCCAACCACTTAGAGCTGATCTTTTCAACCCGAATTGTTTTTCAACCCGTGAACGCAGTCGCGAAGCAATGACATTTGCCTTTCGAGCGTTGGCCACACAGACAGGCTGTTTACGTCGTGATTATTTGGAGGTTTCAATGACCGGCTTGTTCCATTTTTTCTGTTATTCCGTCTTCAACACTAATTCACCACCCTCTTTTATGAACGCGATGTTTCTCTATCCCGTGATGCCTTACCATTCCTCAGCTGATTGCATCCTTAACACGATCTCCTTCATACTTAGTGTAGTATCTTGCATCCTTAGCGCAATGGCTATCATCCGATAGTCACGAAAATTGCATCCACGACGCCCTGAGTGGTCAACTGCTATCAGCCAACATCATTCGGAGAATATGCCGGCATGGCTGTTTAACCTACACGCAGCTGAGGCATAGTGCAATCGGTGTATGCCTTGTCACGCAGACGTCAGCCATCCACGTGTCTAAGTGTGCACCAGTCTTAGACAATAAGGGGAGTGGAAGCGCGCTTCCTCACGAACTGGCTTCAAACCCCAACGCTTGGGATGTGAAGGTAAGGAGAAGTCAACACAGTTTCGAAGGAAGGCAGACGGGGGCAGCGAACTTGTCTTAAACACGGTGTTGCCCCCTGGTTTTATCGAGCCAGGGTCTCAGAAAGCCTATTTGAGCAAGCAAACAAGATGTCTGTCTGAGGCGAGAGGCAGGCAAGGCCCGGATGGCCAGAGGGTTAACAATGTTAACTTGGTAGTCAACATGTGATAACATTGTTCCCTGGCCATCCGTGCGTCACCTGTCCCCTCGCCTCAAACGGACATCTCATTTGCTCTCACAAGCCCTCTTTGTGAAACCATTTTGGTTTCCTCCACAACGGGCCCGACCAAGCCAGGGGGCATGACCCCGTGTTCCGGACATGTTCATTGTCACGTCTGCGTTCGATTACAACTATGGGGACTTCTCCTTACCTTGGGGTTTGGAACCAGTTCGTGAGCAAGCCCGTGCTTCCGCCCCCTTTGTTGTCCAATACTGATGCGCACCTAGACGGTAGTGTTCCACCAGTTTATATTTCAAACGGACATAAGAAAAGGCTTTTATAAACGTATTGGTGTGAAAAAGCCTTTAACTGACATTTAACATTTGGGCAACAGTTTAATGCATTAATTTTTCTCCGAGTTTCCGAGATCGCTATTTTTGTTTTAATTAACGATTTCTGAGGTTTTATATGTAAAGGGTAACTTTCTGTTTTCGGTCATAGTTCCTAAATGCCGGCTGTGGGAGCGCAGTATATACGTCTATTAAATGGTTTGCAGCCATATGCACCCACTCTTTCCCTATGGCAGCCGTGCATTCACCTAACATGTCTGCTTTTACCATTTTTCATCCAACGCGACGGGGCATTTATTTGCGTTCACTCACCAAATTGTGTTCTCTTGTTTAACTGCATACCGAACCATTATAAAGATGGAAATTCAGTAACGTAACATAATATAATTCTTTATTGCTGGAAATGGAACAACACACCTTTATGCTAAGGGAATCCTTCTTTTCTCGTCTATCACGTAAATTTGAATTTTCGCGCCACAGACTAGTGGAACCCTACCCACCTAGAGGAGTGAATTGCGGAGGTCCGTGTGGCAACGCATACACCGCTGGCTCCATGCCTCAGTTGCGTCTGGGTTAAACAACCATGCCGGCATATTATCCGAATGCTGATAGCGATTGACCACTCAGGGCGTCGTGGATGCAGTTTTCCTGGCTATCGGATTATATTTTTACGCTAAGGATACAAGATGCAATACGGATAAAAGCGATTGCGTTAGGGATGCAATCATTTGCAAAATGGTATAAAGTTGCCTGGATGCTCATTAGTCAGTGCAACCCAGCTACCCAGTTGGTCCTCAGCCTCGGCCTCCTTTAACGCCTGTTGCCCCTTTGTGTATGGCAAATGACCACTGCGACACAGTAAAACATGCGAAGTGGAGTACTGATGGCTAGAGTGAACCGACCGGTGATCCTACGGATATCATCAACAGTTCATGTTTATATACACCGGTGCCTTCCGATGTTGCTTGCTAATACTTCCGCCTGTTTGGATGCCGATTTATAATATTTAACTTCACTTTTGCACTGTGATTCCCACACACCTTGGACGCAGGTTAGATCTCTAGCAGTGTTGCTACTTTACACCTGTTTCTGCTACAGCCAGCACACGTCATTGGTTATGCAGAACTCGGAAAAGTAATCTTCAGGTTTCAGCGTGTTAAGCACAGATCTCTATCCACATACATCGATTTACGGAACTCAAATGCGAGTATCCACCTTTCACGTACACTGTTGGCCCGTAGCCTAGAGGTAACGAGCTTGTCCCGTAATTTTGCGACCCGGGTTCAAATCCGCGTAGGGGTGGGCGTCATCGCGGTATACTCAGCCCACGTGTGACTGGTGGTGGTCACACGGCAGCGAAGCACCGTCACGGCGTACAGCTGACACATTACTCTTTTACGCACACTGACTCAGGTGTTAACACTGTGTTCTTGACTATAATTGTGGTCCAAGAACCATCCTATATTGTCTTATCTGCTACATCACAATGGGATCAGTTGCCCCATCTTCATGTGCATCGCTAACCTGTTGAGATCACCTTTTTTGTTTTAGATTTGTGTCCGCGGCCTTCGATGCACCGAGGGTTACTACAAAGATCCTGTGAGCACCGCTCAGCTCCTCGATGAGGAAGGTTGGCTTCATACGGGCGATGTTGGAAAATGGACTTCCGTAAGTACTCCACCATTTTCTTCTCCCTTTCGCATTCACTATCATTTGTTGCGCAACTAGGTCATCCGCCAGGGATCTTCTTGCTGCGTTGCTACTTTTCCAGCTCGGCTTCCAAAATCCGGTACTTGATATGCAACTTTGCTGCGCCACTAACCTTATGTGCTACCCCCAATACACCTACTTTTCAATACTTCGCACTCACCAGTGCTTTCAGCCGGAAGTACCTTGCTCCAAAGGCCTTTTGCCTAGCGTAACGTTACTCCCACAGCAATTTTTTGGTTATGCCTGCCATCATTGTTTCATACTACTATTGGGCGAGTGCTTCATCACTTAAAATCCTTACCTACGTTACTTTTCATTATGGTCTCCACTCTTACCGGTTTATCGGAATTACGTCCTATTTCCCTACTTAATCACCATAATTCGTGTAGGATGCACGTGTCAACTTTCGATCCGCATTGGACCCTGTTTGCGAATTATCACCCGAGGTTATTTGCAACGACGAAGTTAAACTTCATATTCTGAAAGAACGTTTTCGTAACGCTGTCACCCTGCGTATATTTAGGCGAGTTTGGGTCACGAACGTTCGGCACACCACGCTTTACATGCTACCGTAGGATTGCACTCAATGAGATCGCATGGCTGGTAGCAACATATAATTACTGCCCTCCGCAGTCATCGTTGACTCCGGACATATTCCAATCCGGGGGAACTAGGGAGAAAGACTGCTGCTGACAAGAGACCGGATCCTCTGGTTATACTGCCTGCATGTCTGCTTTAGTCAAGTCAAGCCAAATAAGCTTTATGTACCCGACCGAACACATGTACTTAATCCTGTATTTCCTATACTCTTAATGAATGACAAAGAAGCAAGGACGTGCTTTCAGGATACAAAAAACTCATCGGTTTCTTTGATCATTAACCCGAGGTCTCTTATAACCTTCACGGCTCTATGTACATATCATTGGTTTACTAAGGGATATATGGTTGGCGGCATCCGGTTTCTGAATTGCCTGTAACTGGCCAGCCACAGGACACCTGCGCCTACAGAGGGACCATGGGTGGCTTGCGCTGCACCAACCACAGCTGCAACCACATTCCCCATATCCAGTGTAAATCCGAAGGAATAAGTCTGGGAAGCATGTGGATGGGAGCCACGTTTCATCAACGGAGCCGGCCCACACACCTTCACAGGCAAACACAAGCACGCTGGATTTGGGAATCAGTCGCACACAAGGCGGTGGCTGAACCGTAGTCCGCTCCACACTGAGTGCATGGAACCACTCTTCGGGCCTAGCGCGACCACGAAGACGTGCACCTCGTCCCCTTCAGTAACGACCAATTGTTTCCTGGAGCGAGTATGGACGAGTATTGGGTAATAGACTGGTAGGCACCTTGTCAACATGCACATCAAGCGCAGCCACACCGGGGATGTCAAGCAACAGCCAATCACTTGTGACGACGAGATCAAATAAACTAACTCGGATAGTGCATACATAACTGTTTAATAAATGGGCATATGAAATAAATTTGTTGCCAACTTCTCCGCTATAGGTTTCAGACGTCAGAAAATATATTTTAAGCAAATGTCACAAATGCGAAAATTTTATCAAGGTTAACTACATTTAACTTGAGCGATGTCTGCAAGTTAACAGAAGATAGTTCACCTAGACATTAATGAGACAATTTAGCAAACCCACCACCTGAAATAAAGTAACCCAACACGCAAGCAAGCGGTTAGTAAGTCGTATACAGCGTACTTACCAACGCTGCGCCCCTTCTGCCTACGTTCTCTGCAGGACCCGTCGTCGTTTCGCTGTTGGCCCTCAGTGGCTTAGCTCATGGCTCACTAAGCCCGTCTGACTCAGGCACTCGCAACCGCATGTTTTACGGCACCATGCGCTTGATGCCGGTGGAGTGCAACCCATTGACGCCTGTCGCCTCCATACTTGCCGCTTCCTCTCCGCATGCATGAGGGCTTCCTCCTGCACCTCGGCAACTACCTTTGTGATCAGATCGCGCCATGCACACTGATCAACCGCCTTCGATTCCCATGACCTGCAATCAACATTACAATGTGAGAGGCTCACTTTGATCATGTCCTGGTAACGAAGCTTCGGTTCCCCCACATGCCGCTTCCCAACCCTCAGCTGACCATATAACAGCTGCTTCGGTATCCGCATCGAATCCATACGCCACACTTGACCGAGCCACCTCAGGTGTCTCAGCAAAAGTATGCAGTCCACTGCATACATTCCACTTCGGCGTAACACTTCCATTTCTGCAGCTCTGTCGCACCAACCGATTCGCGGTATCCGTCGCAGACACTGTTGATGGAACCACTCGTGATAACGCACATCCCGCCGGTACATCGTCTGCGATACGGTGCCGTATAGAAGAACGGACAGCACCATGGATTTGTAGACCATCAGATTCGTGCCAACAGTAAGCTGATGGTTGTTTCACACTTGGTACTTAGGCTTCCCGAATGCCGCCACTGACTTCGAGACTCGGATACGAAGCTCACTGAGTAGCTGCTGATCATTTGACACCACACTCCCAAGATAGCAGAAGCGGGAGTTGGTTTCCACTACTTCATCACCAATGCTGATTTGTGGCACCATTGTAGACTGCACCTCCATTGAAGGCTGAAGGATGCAGACATTTTTTTCTTGTGTTGATAGTGAGCCTAAATTTGGCAGCCGTCGATGCCAGACCACTAGTCATGTGTTGCAACTCATCCGCGCTGTGCGCAAACAACGCACAATCGTCAGCGAACGGCAACGTACGGATAGTTGTCTCACAGACTAAAGTTCTTGCACCGAAGCGAGGGATGTTCAGCAACCCACCATCAATACGGTGCTCCAGACGAACACCATGGTCGCCACTGCAGTCAGTTGGAGCGTACACCGAGATCACAAACAGGTTGCGTCTTTCTTCGCGAGGTGGAATCAACAAGCACCGCGAAGAGAAACGCAACTTGTTTGTGATCTCCATGTACGCTCCAACTGCCTGCAGTGGCGACTCGGTCAAGGACGAATTCTACCGAGATCTACATCAGCTCTTGACTAATGCTAAAAAGTCGGATGTCGTTATCCTTGCTGGGGATTTAATGCACGGGTTGGCCGCCTGTTACCATACGAACGCCACCTTGTTGGTCATCACGCGGTCGATGAGAACCACTCTGATAACGGAGAGAGACTTCTCACATTGTGCGAAGACAGCCGTCTGTTTCTTTCGAGCACTAGCTTTAGGCGTACAAAGAAGTGTTCCGCAACATGGCGTCCTCCTTCGCCAACATAACCGTGATCTCAAATTGATCACATTGCAATTAGCTTCAGATGGCGCGGCAGCGTACTGGACTGCAGGTCCTTTTGGTCCACCTTCGTTGACTCAGATCATGCTCTGGTCTGCGCGAAAATCTGTATGTGTTTTGGAGGATCCCGAAACACGAAGCACTTCTAGAGTGATGTAAACAGATTAACTGATTCCTCTGTCCAGGAGAGCTATCAGTCTTCACTGGCCTATGCAGTCAGTTGCAATCCACCGCAAGAAGTGGAACAACACTGGACTTGTATACGGAAGGCAATGACCATTTCCGGACAGTCATGCTGCGGCTTAACTCGACGCCCGTTGAAGGCTTGGATCTCTGCTCGTTCTCTGGAGCTGTTCGAACGCCGCAAAGATATCCCGGCGGAATCAGATTGCAACGAGTGACGCCGTTCTGCCAACCGGCTGCTCAAGCAAAGCCTACGCAAGGATCGCGAGACATGGTGGTCTGAGCATGCTTTAGAGATGGAGACTGCTGCCCTCTCTGGCAACACTCGCAGGCTTTTTTAACTCATTCAGTACACTGGCCTCAGCAAGCCTGGTGTCAGTGAGATCATTTGTGAGGTGGATGAGTCTCCGAGCACTAACCAACAGAGGCGTATGGACCGCTGGGCCGAGCACTTTCACTCGCAGTTCAACTGGCCTCCACCATGCATCAGTACATGCAGTACACCTTGTTGTGCACCCTATCTCGTCCCACTGAATCCACCCAGCGAAGCGGAAGTCTGCCTCGAGATTCGACGCTTGAAGCGGTTCAAGGCTGCCGGCTCAGACGGGCTTCCTCCGGAGCTGTTCAAGTACGGCGGTGTGGCGATCATTAACCATCTGACCGCGCTGTTCGCAAAAATTTGGCATGAGGAGAAAGTGCCTTCCTCTTGGGGCGAATTAGTTATTGTCCCGATTTTCAAGAAAGGCGCTCGCACTTCATGTGCAAATCATCGCGGGAGCAGTCTTATTTCGGTTGCCTCTAAGCTATTGGTATCCATTCTGCTTTGTAGACTATCCCCATTACGTGAATCGTACTACCGTGAAGAACAAGCTGGTTTCTCTCCTGGTCACGGATAAGTGGATCAAATCTTCACGCTTCGCCAGCTCCTCGAACATCGCCACATTTATCACAGGCCCACTATCGTTTCATTCCTAGAGTTACGTGCTGCTTTTGTCTCCGTTGATCGACCTGCTTTATGGCGTTGCTTGCTAAAGAACGGGGTGCCGGAGAAATATACCGCCATCTTACGAGCACTTTACCTTCATACATCCGGCAGAGTGAGGGTCTATGGCAAGCTTTCCTCTCAATTCGCTGTCAATAGCAGTGTGCGACAGGGCTGCCATATGTCCCCATTCCTCTTCAACTTCGCAATCGAAGACGTTCTGTCGAGTGCCCTAGAAGGTTTCCAACATTTTGACCTAGAGCATCTACCGAGTGAGCGCGCGACCGACCTAGATTATGCCGATGATATCGCCTTACTTGGTGACGCTCCTCAGAGTATGCCACTCATTCTGGATCGTTTGGCGGTTGAAGCATTTAAATATGGCATGAGCTTCGCCCCATCGAAGTGTAAAGTACTGCTCAAGGATTGGCTTTCACCTGCTCCCGTGCTCACTCTCGAAGGTGCACAACTTGAACAGGTGGATAGTTTCGTCTACCTTGGGAGCAGTGATTCTGCGGACGGCACTACCAACAAAGAAGTTTCTATTCCTATCGCTAAAGCTCGATCAGCATTTGTCAATCTGAGACACTTGTGGCGTCGTCGTGACGTCTCATTTTCACTAAAGGGCCGCATTTACAGTGCATCAGTTCGCTCAGTATTGTTGTATGGGAGCGAGTCCTGGCCGATTCGCGTGGAAGACATGCATCATCTTTCTTCCTTCGATAACGGTTGCTTAAGGAGGATCGCTCGTGTTTGGTGGCAACATCTAGTTAATAATACTGACGTTTGACGTCGCATTTTGGGGAATGCAAGTATTCCCTTTAACAAACTGATTTTGTTGCGCCGGTTAGGATGGCTCGGTCACGTCCTACGCATGGCACCTGAGTGTCTATCGTGTCGCGCTCTGTTTGCTCGTCAAGGACCTGGCTGTAGGCGACCGCGTGGTGGTCAGCCTTCCATTTGGCGGTAGCACATGAAATCGTTGACGTCGTGTCAGGCCGCTGTTGGATCCGTACGTCTTCCAGGATGGGGACCCAAAGATGAGGAGTACCAATGGCTTAGCACTCCTGATGACATGGCCCGCAACCGGAATCAGTGGAAGAATTGTCTACAGTATTGTATCGACTCTCATGTTTAATACTACAAACATTAAAAATGACAAAAAAGGAAAAAGAAATCTGCATGTAAAAAACAAACTAAAATGTTTTCTACTTTTTGTCAAACTGTTCCATTCTTCCTGCGGCATATTAGCTGAAGTGTGTTGCTCATCTTCAACTACCATGGCACGATGATTATGACGCGATGACGGCCCCTTATCCGCTGATCTCCATGGTTTTATGTTGGCTCTGTGTCTAGTTGATAGACTGCTGAGATTGCTACTACTACTACTACCTACTAGGACGAAGACGACGAGTACGAACTCCGTAAGCACAAGCCGCATCAAAAACACAAGACATCATGAAGATAAATATTAAACAGGGCAGGAGCTAAGACATAGCCTTACTTCACACCAGAGATAACTGCAAAGTCACCTGAAATCTTTCCACTCAGCTGCACCCTCGCCCGCATACCACTGTGCAAACATTCAATCAAACTTGTTCGGACAACGAAACTCACCCAACAACGTTCGCAATGCCTCGCAGTTCACCTTGCCCACACAACTCAGCAAGTTGATGCCACGATAATTCGTGTAACATTTCTTGCTGCCTTTGCCTATGTACCGTAGTAGCACAAGGGTATCCTTCAGCTCAGGGTGCACCTCCTCAATGCACACGCGTTGTACCAAGTGGTGCAGCGCAGTCACCAACAAGGGTCCGCCGTGTTATAATACCGTCGGCACTGGCACACTTGTTGTTTCGCAGCTGAGTAAGTGCTCTCTGCGTCTCATCCAGTCTCGGCGTGTCCGCCAATCGTCGCATTGTTTTCATCAAACCAGTCAGGTCGCTTACAGTTTGCGCCCCCCACGGTCTCCTCGGCAGCAGCGGTCACCTGGTCGCGAATATGATGTCACAGGTCGCCCACTGGGGCTATGCATTCCACATCACACAGTCGTGCAGCCATCGCCTTCTCCAGCTCAATACATTTCACAGTACCTAAGGAGAGAATGTTAAAGTTACGCCTCCGATTCATAGCAGGAGTGCAACACATAGATTTACGAAAGTATATGTACTGTTTGGTCCGCACCAATTTGTGATCAGTGCCACACTCAGCACCACGCACTACACGTGTCATGCGCACTTTACGCATGTGACGCTGACGTACGAGCAGGTGAGCGTGAGGACTCCTTGGTACGTCCAAGTTGCTATACCACTCGCACTCAGTGCAAACCGAGTGTTCGTGTTCGTCAGGTTGTGAGTGGCACACAGTGAGAGTAGCCTGTCACCGTTCGCATTCGTTGAACTAATGCCATGTGGACCGATGCATCACGCCCAATGCGCGCGTTGAAATCACCCAGCAGAAATAGTCGGTCGCTCTTAGGCACAGACCGTATAACGGAGGATAGCTGAGTGTAGAATTGATCACGCGTGTCATGAGGATAACACGTGGTCGGACGGTACGTGCTTATAAAAGTGGCAACATTACCTCTTCTGAGTCGTCGGCGAGGAATCATCAGTCGCACGCTGATGCCTATTGCTTCTTCCACCAGCTGGCCATTTAGCCTATCGGATATTGCAAATCCGACCCTATGTTCATATGGTGCTGCCCACCCAGTAGAACGTGTAGCCAGCACCTGCTTCGTGCAGCTCAGCGAGTCGGATCTCGCGAAACGCCGCACTGTGGATGTTGTAGCGCGCCAATTCCATCGCGACCAGTGCAGTGCGTCGCTCGGGGCGCTCACTGGAGTTCCGGTCTAGTAATGTGCGCACGTTCCAGCACCCGATGTTGAATGTGTTGCGCGCAGACATACGATTGCATTGGTGTTCAATCGCACGCTAGGTGGCGGTTATGCTTCGGAGATTTGCTTGAGTGACTCCAGCCGGAGTCTTCGACTGAATAGCCTGACACACAAGGCAGTGAGGAGCAGATCCAGCTGGAGAATGTGATTGCAGAAACAGATTGGGATCTGCTTGACGGCCGTCACACGCAGCTTTCAAGGTACTGAAACGATTCATAAATGTTTTTCGACCGTAGTAAATTACGTACCTGTGACCGCGGCCGGACGCAGAAGGGCTTTTGCGGATTTGCATCCATTTGACCAGGGGTTGCCTGGCTTGAGGCAGGCGGTAGCAAACTATTGAGCACCCGGAGGTGCCCTCCTACTGTCAGAGACAGTGCATGGCGCTGGTGCTCTACGCCAATTGAGCTGTGAGCTTATAACCCTGTAGACCTGTTGTCTCCCATGGCTAGGTTTTACGGGAAGAGGGCCATAGACCACTTCCTAGAAGGTGGACAGTATTTCTTATTTACTTGCGCTCTTGAAAGCCGTTGACAGTGGTTTCGATACAAACATACATGGGAAATTACGTGATTACAAAGCTTGCTTAAATATCAAGAAACAGACTCAATCAAAATTTCACAAGGCTCAATCGCAACCCTTCACAATTCGTCCTAAAGCGGAGTTAGAGCGATTGCAAACGTACGGAATTATTTGACCCGTACGCCACTCTTCCTGGGCTGCACCCATTGTTCCTGATGGCTCAGTTCGCATTTGCGATGACTATAAACTGATGGTTAATCAAGCGACGACGACTGAACATTATCCGGTTCCAAAGAATAACTGTGTCGGGTGGACTAAGGTTCTCGAAACTTGATCGAAGTCATGTTTATTCTCAAGTGTTCAAAGGAAATTGGTTGGCGGCAGCCGGTTTCGGATTTACCTGTCACTCTGGCCAACCACAGGACGCCTGCGCCTACAGAGGGACCATGGGTGGCTTGCGCTGCACCAACCACAGCTCCATCCACACTCCCCATATCCAGATATAAACAAGAAGGAATAAGACCTGGAGGCATGTGGATGGGAGCCACGTTTCATCAACGGAGCCGGCCCACACACCTTCACAGGCAAACACAAGCACGCTGGATTTGGGAATCAATCGCACACAAGGCGGTGGCTGAACCATAGTCCGCTCCACACTGAGTGCATGGAACCACTCTTCGAGCCTAGCACGACCACGAGGACCGTGCACCTCGTCATCTCCAGCAACGACCATCTGTCTCCTGGAGCAAGTATGGACGAGTATTGGGTAATAGACTGGTAGGCACCTTGTCAACATGCACATCAAGCGCAGCCACACCGGGGATATCAAGCAACAGCCAATCATTTGAAATGACATTATTAAATGAACTATATTTGTTAACGCGTGCGTCTATGCGGACATAACTGTTCGCTAGATAAGCATTTGAAGTAAATTGGTTATCAACAATTCCGGGATAAGTACCAAATGTCTACAAGTTATTCAAGACATGCCGTTAACGCAATAAAGTTAACGAATATAACCATGCTTAACATAAGCAACGTGTGTAGGTTAATAGAAGTTTTTCCCGTAGACATAACAGACCAAATAATGTGGAATGAACTTTATCCAGCTTAAAAAGACCTAGTTTATGTGTAAGTTGGTTTAACCCAACTGTAGCGAAGAGACATCATAAGTGTAACATCAGCCTCAGCATGGGGCATATATATATATATATATATATATATATATATATATATATATATATATATATATATATACCGCCCCTGGAGTGCACATTACACTACTAATGGCGGTCATCGGTTTAAAAGGCAGAACTTTAGACACCTAAATTTATAACTGCTTGTCTATCTGCTTGCCTCACATTTATGGGGTACGATACTCACTGCTTGTTGTTTGGTGCTGACTGAACTTTTGTTTTGTTACACTTCGGGGTTTTCTTGTGGCATCCGGTTAAGTCGCCGTTGTGTGTCGCATCACTGAAGGTTGCTTGTTGGCGTTATCCTCCGCGTAGCGCATCTCCCTTAGGGAGCTTGGCATGACAACGGTGGCGCTAGCTTCTCGTGACAAGAATCCAGTTCCTACACATAATTTTGACGGACATTTGCTGCCCACTTCCCGGAGGAAACAGCTCACCGTGTCCCTACAATACTTGTCCATTGCGATTTCTTTCTTATTCTGCTGTTTTTTTCGGAATCCATGGTTTTAAATGTGATATCACATTCGGTTACTTATGATGCATTGGCTTCTGTGGCTAAAAACGTCTCTGTCATCTTTTCTTCACAGGTCGGTGCGCTAAAGGTTGTTGACCGGTGCAAAAACATGTTCAAACTGACACAGGGCGAATACATTGCTGCCGAGAAAGTTGAAGGCATCTACCAGTGTTGCTCTTTGGTACAGTTTGCCCTGCTGGATGGCGATTCGTCGCGGACTTTTGCAGTGGTCATCGTCTATCCTGATTTCGTGGCATTGCGTTCCGAGTTGACCAAAGCCGGTGTGCTGGCTTCTTCCAACGCCTCATCCAATGGTGCCAGTGTTAGTTCTCGTTCTTCTGATGAGGAACTTTGCTCCGCTTTGGAAGTTAGAAAATTCGTTTTGATTAAATTGAATACCCTCGGCAGAGAACGTGGCCTCAAGGGTTTTGAGATGGTACGTTTCAACACTCCTGTGAGACAGTTGTATTTATTTTCTCTGTCCTAATCTCTACTATTATGCGTCACTTTTGGTTGAAGTCAAGATAGATGAGATCCCAAGTCTCTTGCGATTAGAATTGATAATCCACCGCGTTCGATTTTTGCCCCCCCCCCCTCATCGATTCCAGTCGATCACAATATTGATCACACTGCCGCACTTGATGACGTTTCACGTGTTTTCTTGATGTACTGTCGCATCCTTTCACTGTTTCGATTCAACATCGGCTGACCCGCCCGCTTTACGCCAACTGTATTCCTCTCCCTAATCTCAGCCAGTCCGATGTGGAATGGTTTTTCACAAACTGAGAACAACGAATCTCATACTGGCAGTGCCTTCTTTTGGCCGCTTTATATCTTTGTTCATAAGTGGTCAGTGGGTGGTATGCTCATCGTACTTGGGGTGACCTAACCGCTGTGTGTTAGGCGTTTAGGTTACTTTAACCAAGCCTATCAGATTCAATATCACCATTTTGTATGATGCGAAGAATAGTTCCATTACATCTGCGGTTGCGACGCTGATGAACACCCGCAATCTCGCTCCATTCTCATACTTATGTCCATCTTTGCTCTGTGAACCAACCTATGGACAACCAGATTTGCGAGTTGAGTGTATTCATTTCGGTTGGTGTGAAGCGACCGAACCATGAGAATCTCATCCATACTCAGGCACGGCTAGGTGATAATCTGCAACCAGAGGGGTTGTATGGGTTAAGTTACTCCTCGTACTTCGATGGGAATGCTTGGATCTGGTACCGGTGGTGGTTGCGCAGCAACGAAGCCTCGGTACTACCTAACGGCGTACTGCTGATGCCTTTCACGTCTCTTCTTCAATATTTCATTACGTTGAGATTGGATCTTAACTTGGTGCAATGGTTCACGTGCCTCGGCGATTTATTGTGCTATGCTACGTAATGTTTTTCGGATTATCGGAGCCACTCATACCAGATTGGCTAATGGCTGGAGGCCAGCCTTACTCAGTCTCTTGGCCCTACAGGATGAGGGTTGCAGTGAGGGCGGCTCCGTACTACATAAAACCGACTCTCTGTGGCCCACTACCAAACGCGCTGCCTTGCGGTCGGGTTTTTGTATCTTGTCTAGGCACGGGCAACCTGGTTGTATCCTGCTCACGCGACGCACTGAATTTCTCATCAAACACAATGTTCTGACCGTCGCAGAGGAAAATCAACGGTGCCCTATCGGCTTCATCGAGCAGGGTGCATAGAGGTGAGAAGGATATTGCCCAAGCCTTCATGTCTCATTCCACCTTTTACTCTTTCTCGTCCCATTCCAGCTTCACTTTATTCCCCACCAAATATTTGCCATCCGCCGCCCTGCGTTTATATTCTAGTTTCAACTCACACAAACGCGGAGCGTCACTCCAGTCCAGTCGACAAGTCTATGTCGAATCAAACGGATAACTTCTGCTGATGGATAACCTCTGTTTGTCTTTTTCTATTTATAGCCTCATATCCTCGCTAAAATAGATACGCCTCATTGTACGCACTTTACTACAGATCGGCAAGCTGGAAGAACTTGCCCCAACACTACAGACCTCGTCAATCGGTGTCTGCTGCATATCGGAAACGCGCTTATAAGACGAGTTCCGTGCTTACCTTACGATTCCCTTCATGGGATTCTAGTCTTACTTTCTCGTTGCTTTTATCCTTAGAGAATGCAGTTTCAAATACCGGTCAAGCTGATGTGAGCATTGTTTCGAGCTCCTGAGCTAAAGCTGCTCTGATCTTAATCGACACCCAGATATGCGCCGTCCAACTAACTGGCTCGTATTAAGCTTCAATGTCCCGCGGTGTCAACAGGTGTTTATTTTTTATCGCTGTCTACGCTTCTACAGATTGTTGCGCTAACTGGCTGCAGGATGACTTGTTCGACAACTGAACGAGTTCCTTCTCATCGAGAAAATAGCGCTACTGTATTGATCTGAACGCCCGAGTTTGAAAGTTTTATTGGTGGGATGTATCTGGGCAGCCATTTAGGTGTGGTCTTCCCTAATGCTAACGATGAGCAGTCGTTACACTTATATGATGATACTCGTGATCACTAATTTCCGACAAAGCCAGATGGGAACATGGTGCCCACTAACCATCAATAAAAAACGATCACATCGCAATCACTTACCGTTGCAAAAGTTGGGTCTAAAACTTTCGCTCGATTTGGAGTACAAGCGTGGACTTTGACCGTGTACTTATGTGCGTTGATCTGCGCGGTCATTTCGGCGGACGCCGACGACGGCGATGTGAGTACATAGTCATCCGCAAATTGACGAAGCCAAATGTTTTAGACACATGCTGGCACGCGAGTTGCGTAAGCGCTCGCTAAGCACAGTTGATAACCACTGTTCATCAGACACTATTAGCATCAGGTGTTTTCCTTTATCAAATCTGATTGCCAGTCCGTAGATTTTGTCTCAACGCAGTTTCTGGAACTTCTGAATGCTCGATGATGCATTCCTGCTTGGAGCGAACACAATAAGACTCGCAAAGGTCGGAGAGTAAAATTGCATCTTAGCCTGAATAGAGACCGCGAAACTTGGTGGCCCCATCTTGCATCAGAAATGGAAGCAGACACTGAGCTCGGTAACTATGCAAAGTTTTTCCCTTTGATACGGTGACCGGACAACAGGAGACCTAATGTCAGCGAAACTTATGCGACGAGAGTGTGCAGCCTATCCACAGCCTGGAGCGTTGTGCCGATCACGTTGAAATGCAATTTAAGTAATCCGTACAGCTAGGTTAGCAGTCGGCTAGTGATCACCCTATTGATGAGAACAGGGAAACCGTTTGGTGAGCAATTGCTTTCAATCATCCATCATCGGACCAGTGCAATTAAAGGGTAAAATCGACCAGTTAGTACAAGTAAAATAGACGAAAAATCGAAACGAGTTAGTTACATGTTACGGAGTTTAACTTCAAATCGTTCACCTCAGTATCCCCCGTTTTCTCGGGCCAGGGAAGCTGTAGAGCCTGGACTAGCTTCTTTTGCGAGCATAAGGACGGTTGAAATAATCGAATGCAAATTGCTTCGGCCGTCGCAAGTGTACGAAGGCGTTGCCCTTTCGATCGGTGCGGTGGAACCTTGTATACAACTCTAAAGGCACGCTTTAGATCCACCTGATGCCCACTGTCGACAGTATGAGCCAAAATATAACTACTAATGGCCCCGGTGCCACCCTGTTGCTTGGACTACCCCTCTTTATCCGCCTTCTCGCGCAGCGGTCGAACGTGAGATCAGAATGTTGAAGTTGGATAAAACCGCAGGACTTCACACTCGAGGGACCTGCTCTTGTGGAGAACTTGCATGATTTATTAGTGAAACTGTAGGAGCAGGATACTGTCCCAACCGACTGGAGCTACTCCACTGTAGTCCCGATTTTCAAATATGGTTCACTTTCGAAATGCGGCAGTCATAGATGTATCAGCCTGATCTCTATCGCCTCCATGTTACTTGTCTTTCTTCGTACACTGACTGGCGTCAGTGAAAGCCAAATTTGTGGAGAGCAAGCCTGGTTTCATCGCAGTCGAGGATGTATTGACCACATCTTCACTTTACATCAGGTACTGGAACACTGCCACTTATATTGACGACCCACGGTAGTCGTGTTCCTCGACATCAAAAATATCTTCGATTCAATGGATCGATGTGCCTATTGGGACTGTTTGATCAGGAGAGGTGTGCCCGAAACCTATGCGGACATTACCAGAGCGCTTTATGCGCGTAGTTTGGGCAGAGTGAGGGCTTTTGATAAGTTGCCGCCACCCCACAATATCTCCAGTACTGTAAAACAGGGATGCCCTCTTCAACATCGTTGTTAACTAAGCCGTGGACCTCGTGTTCAGTGAACACGACTTAAAGAAGGTATATAGCTGCTCCCAGTTGAACGACTTCTTGACTTGGAGGATGCTGACGACATTGCCCTCATCTTTGACTGCTCACAAACTTACCAAGTAGCAATAGGTAGGTTAGCACTGGCTGTCAGCCGTTTCGGACTTTGCTTTACACCCTCAAAGTGTAAAACTTTCCTCTAAGATTAGGAGGGATCGCATCCTGCACTGACTGTTGATGGGAATCAGCTAGAACTCGTTCATAAATTTACTATTTAGGCAGTTTTATCTGCGCCTGTGGAATGGAAGATGAGATCACGAATGGTATAGCAAAATCCCGAGGTGCTTTTGCCAACTTCCGCCACCTGTGGCATCGGCACCACATCACTCGCTCTAAAGGGTAGCGTTTACAATGCGGCCATGTGTTCTCACCTGTGTGGTTGCGATATCTGGTCCATCGATAGGTGGAGACTTATTACGTTCGACCACCAGTGCCTTCGCATTGGGTGGGAACACCCTGTGAGCACTGAGCATGTCTGGCGTCATGTTTATGCACAGGAAGAGTAAGTGAGCTGCATCAACCTCCCATTACTTGCTCGTGTGTTAGACGTACTAGCACACCGACTCCCGTTTCCTACGTTATTTATGTGATCGAGGTCTGCAAAGAAGAAAAAGCGGAGAGGCCAACTAATGACTTGATCAGGAGGAATGAAGATCCTCATTTCAAAATTGGACTGTTCGGGTGTCTCGACTTCCTGGTTGCTTTCCTAAGCTCGGTGAACACGTTTGGTTGGATACACATGATCGGGAGTTGATTTCATTGCCGTTTGTTTTGTGAGCTCTTTTGTCTCACTCCATCCCGCTTAGCCTCTCTCTCCAACCACGATGTCAGTACCGACGCATAATAACAAGAAAAGTATACTACCACATTACTTTCTTGTACTTTTGCTGTTTATGGTTTTTATTTTTCAAGTCTCTTAGTGCATTGTATAAAGACACCATATCTGCGTTTTATTTTTACCGCTAGCTAATGTGTCGATTCGTGATAGTAATTACTTCACTAATCCACAGTAACCACGTAGGAAAAGCTGTTTAGTGACCGATAAGTGGGCTGATG